AAAAAAAAAACCGAAAACACTAAAAGAAAAAAAGAAAATTGAAAAAAGCCATTTATGATCAGAGTAGCATCGCCAGGAACCTGATCGATCCACTTTTGCCTTTCAGAGAGGGCGAGTTCGGGGTTCGAGAGGTTCTTGGAGATTCTGGGGGAGAGAATACGCCTTAAGGGCTGGGACAAGTACAGAGGTGGTCTAGACATCAAAGGTGAAGCCTTCATTTTACTTATTTTTCATCGTAAAGAGGACAAAAAGCTGAAAGTCCCATTGAGTTGCCTTCACTCCTGTGACATTCGTATTTGTTCACTTTTTCACTTGAAATGCAGGCGATATGACGGGCAAAGAGAGTGTTTACACGGTGTACGCTGGTCACGAGGTCATGTACCATGTGAGCACGATGTTGCCTCACTCCAAGGACAATCCACAACAGTTGGAGAGGAAGAGGCATATCGGCAATGACATTGTAAATATCATATACTCGGACGATCCGTCCGTACTGGAGACATTCAATCCCAACTGCATAAGGAGTCAATTTACTCGTGAGGACTTCCTAAATTAATTTCCTTAATTACCCTCTCAAAATATAAACATGCTGCATTAACATTTTTTTTATTTATATCAATTATGTAATCATTTTTTCAATAAAGACGAGGAATGAGTCAGAAATTTCTTTCTATGCGTCCAAATGAACTTGCAGACGTCTTCGCCGTGGTGACGAGCGAGGAGAACGAGCGCTGGAGAATAGCAATATACTGCGACGAAAGTGTTCCTCTCTTTGGTCCAAGTCTACCTTGTCCCCCCGTCTTCGAGGATCCGTACAACTTCCGTGAATTTCTCCTGGTGAAGCTGATCAATGGAGAGAAGGCGACATTCGACACTCCGACGTTCTCCCGGAAACGAGAGCGAACCCTTGATGCTCTCTTACGAGATCTGTACCAGGAACACACTCAGGATGCCAAGGGCAACGTAAGTTCCGTACGTATAAGCAATCATACTGTAGCGTATTCGCTTTTCTTGTTATCAAAAGTCTCCCCGGAAGAATTCAAGGAAGAATCCAATTGTTATCAATAAGAAAGGGTGACAACTCTTTACCTGAAAAGACCTCTCATTGAATAAATCAGCCCTGTCAGTTTCAAACTCCATATCGCAATCATTTATTCCTAAAGCATAATAATACTGCCCCTAAAACCTAATCGTTCGTCGATAACGAGATATGATTCAGTGGCGAAGAGGTGAAGACGCACAAAAGATTCACTTGGTTGGGGAAAGTTATGGTTGTTTCCGGTCATTACCGGAAAAAAAAAAACATTTTCGAGGTACTTAGGCGATTTTGACGAACAGTTACTTTTACCGATTTTTTCGATCTCCTTCATTTGCAAGAGTTATTTCATGTTTTATTGCCCTACTTCAATTTTTTTAATAAATGGGTGGGGTGGGTACGCGGATTTTATAAATAAGGTACGTTTTATTAGTGCGCGTTGTTTTAATTTTCCACTCCGATGAAATACTGACAATTACTGTAAATTAACGGTTGAATAATTTAAATAATTGTCAGGAAAAGTCAGTGAAGTTGATGCACTCGGAGTTGTAACGAAAATAGTGATGTACTAGACGCTATGAAAATAGACATTGAACTCTGCCCTTTCATTCCTGATGTACGACTGCTTCAAGGGTGAGCAAATTTATGATGCTCTTCCGGGTAATTAATTTCAAAGATTTCCGAATTACTCGACCGGTCACTGATAAATGTTCAACTGCATTCTGCACAAGATCCACAATAATTTTGGAAGAACTCTTAAATTCACAGATGCGCCCCAAAAAATTGCATACCAACTGATGACTAGGGCTATCTAATTTTAAAAATATCTTGATTACTATGTAATGCATTAAAAATATGAACTATTGAATTTCTATAAAATTTGACAAATTTTCACAAAACGAGCGGTCTATTAACAAAATCAACTAGTACCTCTTCGCTGCTGGATTGATCTCCTTGTTCCACAATCGGAACAAAACCCCATTATCAAAGAATGAGCACGTCCATATGGACGATAAGCATTATCAGAGTATTATCAAATCGCCCTGGTATGCTTGCGCGTCGAATTAATACCCCCCCTAGCTCCCAGCAACCGCCACACAAGCAATAGATAGACGATAACATATTGATTGGCCTAATAACGATGATTCCGTATTACGACGCCTGCAGAGTATGCTGAACAGACGTGCATTGTCGGATGTGGTTGAAACTCCAGGAAGAAGGAGAGAGGAAACACGTGTTGTGGAAATGGTTAGAGTTGGCCAGGCGTTGAAACTCGAAGCGATCGTTCGAGGTCTAGCGCCAACATCATTGGCAACTGTTGGCCCCCTCAAGCCCCGACCCTGGGAGCCCCGCTGCATCTACCCAGATTTCTCCCACGACTTGATCTGCGGAGACATATGGTCGGAGAACAAATTGGTATTAGCCACCGAGAACGGTACCTTCCTGGTTGAGGATGGAATGGAGAACAAGATGTTGTTCGACAAGACTGTCCTTATCAGACAACTCGATGTCGTTGAACAGCACGGAATACTCCTATTCAGAGCTGGTGACAAAGGAAAGGAATGCGGTGTACACGTTTACAGATTGAGTGAGCTGGATGGCGATGAGGCGCACACTGTCGATGATTACTCATTTGAAGAGGACGATGAGGTGCTAGAGAGCTTTACAACCCACGCTTCAACCGCTAGACCGCCCATTACGAGGACACGGTCTCACGTGAAGGAGAGAAAATTAGAGAGGACTCGAGGATGTCATTTGTACAGCTTAACGAGACCAGGTGGCTCGCATTTACGTATGTGCGTTGCTGTCGGAAGGAGATTAACTTTGTTGCAGTGGAAGCACAACGCTGCGTGGACGACTTGGTGTTCGGCGGCTGATACTGACACAGTCGATGGGTTTTTACTGATTAAAGAGTACAATGCCTCTGAGCCACCGAATATCGTGACAATCATTGAGAGCACTGAGGGCGGCAATCAGTGGCTGCTCTGCTGTGGTTTACGCCATCACTTCGAACTTATTTCGGCTGAAGGCACCAGTAGATCGTTACATGTTGAGGCATCCATGAAGCCTCATATCATCGCTGCACTCGATCTCAGGGAGGACGAGGAGCCTGAAGTATTGTTGTGTTACAATAATATTTGTCACTTTCAGAAACTCTCTGAGGAGAGTGCCGCAGCCACCGAGTTTGACTTCAATTGGAATTCTGTACCAATAGCTGTTGCATGTGCCTTTCCGTATGTTATCGCGTTCACCGCTGATACCATGGAAATTCGGTTAATTATTAATGGTAATCTTGTTCATACTATCACAATGCCCAATTTAACGCTTATTAGCTCCAAGCGGGATATCTATTTTGCTACGACTGCACCCGAATTTTTGGCAAACAAGTGCGAGAGGATACGGGTTGATACCAAGGAGAGGGAAGACAGGAGTGGCAGTCCACCGACTTCACAGTCGAGTTTGACCAGTGAGTTATATTTATTTATAAATGTTTAGTGAGTGTGTTTAGGTTTTTGAGCGTGTGAGGGAAAAAGAGCATGATAAGGTTTAGGTTTGAATCGCTTTGATGGACAAAAAAAAAATTGAAATTCTCTTGGTCTCTCATTTTCAAGGTTTTACCTTTGTAAAGGGTATGCATATTACTTTTCCTAAAGAAACGACTGAAATTGCGCGTGGACTGGTTTTGTCAGTAATAGGACGGGGAAGCATTTCTCTTTCGTTTTCGAAGAAAATGGTAAAATCCTTGGAAACACAACAGACTAAAATGCGAAAGGAAAATCACTCATAGCTCTACACCCTCTCATTTCGCGTATATTCCCCCCGTAGATGACAATAACACTTTCAGAAATTCAAAACTATGGGAATATTTTTTATTAATTTTAATTATTACTCATAAGGTGAGCGACGTGCCAAAAACACATTCTCCTTATCTCCCAGAATAATACCTCACAACCCGTAATTTTCAGACTCTCAGAATGATGTGAAACCTTTGAGGATTTACACAATACCTCTGCACACCCTATCCAGACCGACGTCAAAGACGAGCAATCGAGAACGTTGCACAAGTCCAGTAGAGCCGGAGATAGTGAACACCCAGCCGCCTTGCGATCCCAATTTCTTGAGTGTCGAGCCCCACAGATTGCTCAGCAGATCATGTAGCAGCAGCCCAACACCGAATCTCGGGGCGTCCTCAGCCTCCACCCCGAGCAAATAAATGACAGCATGAAAAGGGCAGTCGTAAAACACACTGAGGTACTCCCTCACCCGATCATTCCGACGTGAAGATTCCGGAATGGATCTGATTCACGTCCACACCAGTCAGCACAAATGGCTAAAGTGAGGACCGAGGGATCTGTTTTTTTAGTCGAGCTGTGGATAAAACGGCGCAGTGCGTCGAGCCACGTGTTTTGCTGGATCGAAGTGGTGAAGAATTGAGGAGATTAATGAGAAAAATTCTACTTTTAGAAATGTCTAGGTCTATCGTCCACGATAATAATGTGTTATAAATAATGAAATATTGTTACACGTACAGCCGTGTCTCACTGTAAAAATCAAATTGAAGCAGATGGTTCTTGAGAAAAGTTATTGAATAAAAATCATAAATTATGTTCTGAAATATTGCAATTCAACTTATTTTATCCGACTCACCTTGAAATAGATGGAGCGGGTGTGATAAGGTGGAGTAATTACCAAGTCTTAGATGTTACTTCCTAAATTAGTTTCGTGGAAATGTGCTCTGAGCATCGCATTTCGAATTTATCTAGTCTTATCAAGATGATCAACGCTGCTCTTTTTTTCAACGATATCTTGTTACTCTTCACAGCCAACGTCCTTTCGTTTCTCGTTTAACATAACGAGTTGAGGGTGAACTCGTGATATTCGGATTTTGAATTGGATTGAGCTACTGGGATTACAATTAATCGGTAGCAGGTGATGTGACATCGAACGTTGTCAGGTGCCAGAGTGAAATTGGTTACGGGAACGTGATGACCCGTATATCAATCGAGGGTACGTCGTGTTTATCCTCGTTAAACGTGTCAATTTGAATTAGAGATGTGATTGATTGGATTATCTTCATACATTCGAGGGAGTATCTTTTGTTTCACTTGATCATTACAAATAGGAAATTGCTAGGTGCCAATTATTCTCAGAGATATCTCACATCCGTTCTGCATTCTATGTTTATATTAATAGATCAAAACGGGAGTGGATTAAACAGATCACCTGTGCCCTAGGAAGGTAAAGTCACACGTGGCTACACGTTTCGTCTCATAACTTCTACATTTTCTACAATATTTTTCGTAATTATTGTGCGTAGAAAACGGATGTGTATCGAGAAATAAGTATTTCGGTTCGTACAAAGGAGATATTTGCACACTCGAATGGCGCACGACTTATAGAGGTGAAGGTTGCATGGACTAAAGAATAATAATGAATAAATTGAGAATACATTGAGAATAAATTGTTTTTAAAGAATATCAGAACCTGGTGCTGACACTTCAGGGAAGTGAAACGTTATTTACTCGGTTATGAATATGTTATTATAGTTATGTCGCCTGTAGGCAATAATGGTGGTTGCTTCTCGGCACCGATCAAAATTATATCCGGTGGATTTTCCGTGATGAATTCAGTCCTCTTGTTTGATCTACCAGTAAACCGGCTGATCCTGTCAACTGTCAATCCCCAAATCGCCGTGATTATGGTAATTTTAGCTACTAAGGCGGTGGATTTGGCGATGCGGGTGGTAGTAGGTGATGACGTTGTGTAGAATTCAGGAATACATGTGAAATACGGAAACGGAATGTAATCCGTGAAGGAACGAATGATTCGTTGATCACTTTGATTCGGGACTTTTAAATTCGTGAGGGAAAATCGTTCTTTCGACAATTTTATTTTTCCACACGAATCTTATTCCCATAAGAAATATCTTAAAGATTCGTTGATGAGAATCGGAAGATTAACGGAATGACAAATCCGTTAAGGAATGTTGCCGATCCGTCTACGAATCCCATTCGTATGGGGAAGTGTGTAACGAATCAGGGTTCTCAAGGGAATACCAAATATTCGTTCACGGATTAAATTCCCAAGTGTCGAGAATAGGTTCATTGCAAATTTGATGATTCCATTGGGAATAAAATTTATGGAGGAATGATTTATGGAGAAATGATTTATGGAGGAATGACGGTTCACTAGTCTCCGAGTAAATCATAATTTTTTCCATGACTTTTTACTATTTTTAATCTTGAATTGAAAATGCAACTGATCGCGGATTATCTTCGCGCATCGGATAAGCTATCTTTCTTTTTACATTTACAGCAACTGCAAAGTAAATCGTCCCCTCCCCTGAAAATAGCTGTTTGTGCAGGCATAAAAAAAAATAATTTCATATATGATTCACATCTGAAACGCTTTTCAGAAAATCCATGCTTCTTTCTCACATAATTTTTTATTACAACTCCGGGCGTATTCCCCCCGAGAGTACGGGAGGAACGAGTCCTCATGAATGTGCAGTTCAGGAAACCATGGGATTAACATTCGAATCATCCACAATAAAAAGAGAAGCAGCTAAAGTAAAACGAATAAACCAACTTACAGCCTAGAAATAACTACAATTAACGCTGACTATTACTCTACTCCCAGAAGTAATAGCTATTCATCCTTGCACTGAGTTTTTGCTCGACATGCAGCCGTGAGGTCATCCAATGACGCGCTATGAACGTAAAAGTTAGTTTCGTCGAAATTGTAATTACTGTAGAGGAAAGCTGGCAAATTATCGGAGAGGCAGTAGAATTTTCTGCTTTTCGGCTCGATGACGATGTCGTTGGGGAATACCAGATCGTTATCGTCCTGCGCTACAACGCCTGCAAATAGCAATTATCAGTAACAGAATAATCCAAAATAAACCCAGAGGATTTGGATAGCCTCAGCCAAATGGAATTTCCAACTCACGGAAGGTATCCGGGTTGAGCTGCTCATGAGTATCCCAACAGGCCACTGCATTTTTGTTGACCTGGGTGAAGTAAATAATTCCAGTCTCCGAATCAATAGCTGAGGATGTTCCCTGGCTTTTCGCTCCTTTATTTCCCTCAATACGAAACTCGTTCCGGTAATCAGGATTGGCCAGGGCCGTTTGATTTTTCAATAGACTAGTTGAAACGGAGAATTCATGAATACCAGAAAATGGATGGAAGTAGAGGGTCTTGGAGCCGTCCTCTTTCGGCTCACTTAAGGCCATACCAAATAATCCATCTGTCCATTGGAAGGTCAATCCACTGACATTGTAATCACCTGGAATGCCCAATGAGTTATGTTAAAATATTCTTTACAAAGTAGAACTTAAGTCCATTGAGGCCAATCACCATGGAATGGATCCATGTGGAAATAATTATGCTCAACCCTCCACGAGTCATTCTTGGCTAGACTGTAGATGACAAGTCCATTGGCTCCAAGGTCGGAATTATATACATAAGCTTCTTCACAATTTCGCGGGTCGACGTCAATCACAGTGTCAGCGAAGAAGCTATTTGGCTGGACGTCGCTGTCTTTGAAGGTGTATCTCAGAATAATCTGGAAGAATTCATCAATCATTCACACCAGCGAGTTTAATTCCATAGATTTATTCTTCTGTTACATCCACCGGCAAATTCATACAATTCTTTCTTCTCATACGTCTATCGCTCCATAAGCAAATACGTTAATACTGCAATTTCTTCTTCACTGGATAAATGCGTATTGTCAAGTCTTGCTGTGTGATGTGCACTTAATTGTGAATTATTTTGAGAATATGTAGCGCGATTGATGTTGGAAAGTGATTAAATCAATGAAAGAGGCATGTCATGTCTCGTGTCATGGCTCATTAATTTCTGAACTTTGAATTACTCACCTCGTTCGTCTTCAGATCAATAGCAATGAGTTTTCTCGGCTGAACCTGGGTACCTTCCCCGGTCATATCCTCAACTCCACTGTCAACAGCCCACAATCTATCACAAGCATCAATCCTCGGCCTCAGAATGTTAACAATAGCGTCAGGTGAACGAACATCGTTTGATTCCCAGTCGGGATAGGGATTGAGTAACAGTGATGAGTTCTCTGAAGCTGAAAATAGAGGGGTAGGGTAATTAATGACGCCTGATCTCAGATAAAAATTGAAAATTCTAGGTTGAATTAATGCTCGGAGATAAATATTACTGGCTGCTGTGGCTTCACTCAGGCTGACGTAATTCAAAGTAGCTGGTACTCCCTTCTTCCATCTTGGTACTGTAATGAAGAGCTTGTCACCCCATACATTTAACCCAAGGGGAACAATGTTTTCCTGTACGTAATTGTTCGATGCTGTGTAAGACTCGCGCAACGAGTCATTTGGAAAATTGTACGCAACCTTTTTCCATGAGGCTATCGTTTCAAAAGGATCCGCTGCAACGGATGTTGCTGCAAGGAACAACAGGTACCACATCTTTGTGACACTACAAAAATTAAATTCCATCATTATACCACAAAATGCAGAATATAAAATACAGACTTTTCAAATTTGAAGTGAATGGAGTGAGAAGCTTCATTTATTATTATTATTAATCCATTTATTATTATTATTATTATACAATTGAAACGATTTGGACGATTCAAATTTTGTAAAACTTGAACAAAAATTGAAAAAATACTTGTAATGTGGAGCAAAACCTTCGAATTTCATCATCTTGAAATATATAATATATAATATTGTGAATGACTGATTATTATTTCGGAGCCTAATTAACTTGTTTTGCGTTTTTTATCAATTGCTGTGGAGGTACGCAGAAACGATAGACTATTGTTGGTTGATACGGGTCTTTATGTCAACCAATTGTCCTGCCACACCCGCATTGCAACATTCTAACACATGCACAGCCTTTTATCACTGATCAAAACGAATTCTCACTCATGACTCAACGAACGTGACCATTGCACACGGCATTGAGATAAAAAAAAGACCCCGAGTTTTCTACTATTAAATGACGGCCTTTGATTCATAAATTTCACAGACACGGGAATTGAGATGAATCGAAAAATCCGAGTGAAAGGATTAACCAGATAAATCTCCCTAAAGTTTAGTGATAAAAAGATTTCCCGAGAAGTTCGGGGAGATATTGCCAGCTCCTCGAAAATCTCCAAATTCAGGTCAAGAATATTGATGTAAGTATTTAACCCGTGTGTTCTCTTAGCCCGGCATTAATTCTCAACAAGGTCAAAAAGTTTTGAGCTACGTAGATGAAAAACCTCTGGAAAATTCCCAGTAATCTCTTGTATCCCATCCATTTACATACCCAACAAAACACCTTGATTTGAATACTGAAGGACTTGAAGAGGAGACGAGAAAGTATTTGGCAACAGCTCACTGCTCTCGTAACAGCGAAGGACACTTTCTCTATTAAAAAATTTTTGTCCCGAGTGCGGAAATATGCATGAGCAGTCGCAATTCTTTCTGTACGTGTTAGTCATTTCGCTCTGTCATGCGATCATCGATGTCAACGACCAATATCTGACATTGAGAAAATTTCAGGGACTCGAGAAAATTCACTCAATAAAACAGAATGCCAATTCAAGGGAACAATGGCAGAATAAATTAAAAGTAACGGGACTTCTACAATAATTAATGCAATTACATGTTATTTAATTCTCATTATGTAAAAATTCCAGTAAAAAAGTGTCAGATCATATCCGACACACCTGAAGATTTACTACCTCACATTAAATATATTCAATAATAAGCAAATGGGAATTGTGAACTCGTGTTGGAAAAGGTATTTTACATGCGGGTATATGACATGATTATATTCACACATGGCTTTATATATTTTCTCCGATATTTTGGCAGATATTCTCTGCAGAAAAATGTTGTTATTCAAGGAATAGATATTTTGATGCGCGCGTATGAAATTTTGGTACTCTAATGTCACAGAATTAATAGAGGTGAAGGTTGCGTAGACTGAAATAATATCAGCAAGTTATTTTAAAAGAATTTCGAAACCTAGTACTCACAGTCTAGTCCAGAGAGAACAGGTATCGCTTGGAGAATGGCCTAACCGTGAATGACGTTATTTACTCGGATACATGAGTCTCTTATATAGGCAGTGGGCAATAGACTGTTGTCCCATCGGCACCGATTAGAATTATACACGGTGGATTTTCCATGATGAATTCACTTCTCTTGTTTGATCTATCAGTAAACAGGCTGATCCTGTCAACTGTCAATCCTCAAATTACCGTGATTATGGTAATTTTTGCTGCCACGCTTGTGGATTTGAGGATGCGAACAGTTGTGAGTGATGAGATTTTTTAGAATTCAGGGATACAGCAGTGATATACTTGCGGCTTTGATTGTTTAATTGCAAATGAAATTTATTACTGGAGGACTGTCTCGGGGGGTTTACAGGAAGGTTTTTCCCTGTCTATTGTTCCTCGAGCATATTCTATCGTGTAGTTCTTATTGATAAATGTTGCATTGAAGGCATTATTTTCATGAGCCTGGCTTTTCCATCGGTTTTCTTTTCTTTATCTCCATTGAATGCGCGCCAATTCTCATTAGGGACGCCATTACTCGAATTAATCTGTCTCCCATAAAAATAGTTATGCTTGTAAGATAAACAAAATAATCCAGATAAGATTAGATCTGTAGAAGGCCCGCATCGACTATATATCGAACGTGATCTTTTCTTTAAATTTTATCCTGTTGGGTTTTATTTTTGGAAGTTTCTACTCTACTGAAATTGTCAGTAAACAGTATTCAGCAGGATTGAATAATCCAATTTGATTCTTCTATACGAATTATAATATTACGATAATCTCTTGTTTTAATTTTCTTTTCAACGGTAAAATTACACAGAAAGGTTGCAAACTTCAAACCGACAAAAATCCAATCGAAAGAAAAGTAGAAATATTAAGGGATTATTATTATTATTATTTATATGAGTATTATTATTAATTGAGAGAACTCATAAGGTTTTTTACAAATTTTTTGCATATGTAATAGGCAAGAAGATAATTAAAGAATCGTCGAGTCCAGAGATTATTGAGAAACTTGCTGAGACGAGGAAAAATAAATTCATAGAACACCTCAGCCGAGAAGACTTATGATTGCAGAAAGGGAGGGATTAACGTACAAACTCACAGTATTACAAAATAATTCATCTATTTACATCGAGAACACATATTGTGAAATACAAAAGTGTTGGTGTACTCATGAGGCAATAATAGTCATACAAAAATACATGTTCACTATAAAACATCGATGTGTGTAATTTTTCATTTAACAAATGACGTTCACCAGTAAAAACCTTCAATTCGAAATTAAGTGAGCTCGAATTATAAAATATATTGGCTCATATATTTTCTGAACTATCAGAAATATTTCCCTCAGTCTCGAGGAGATTTTAAATCTGGAAAATAAATAGAAGATTTGGATCTTCAATTTTGCGTAGAGCCTACACCCAATCCTTTCACAATCTCGTAAAACACTTGTTCATTTCTATAAAACTATAATTCTTCTAAGTGTTTGTAGTTCGGCTAGAATCTCGGAAAAAATAATTAATAAATAAAAAATGTGGAATGATTGATTGGGTTTCGTATGGCTAACTAATCAAAGTGTAGCTTCAGCCTCAATGTCTTTCTGAGTTTTCTTGATTTTCTTAATTTTCCTGCAAAATAAACATAAAATATGAGAATTAATCATTAATTAAATTGATTTAGTGCATTTGGCCTGTCCCCAATCATCAGTGAACAACTCCCAAAGGAGAAGAGAACTAAATTTTCCAAAAAATATTTCTTTTAGTCCACGTAACGCCCGACAAAAAAATAGATAAGAAATTTTGTTTATCTCTCTTCATTTACGAGATGTTCATAATTATCACAGAATTTCTCTTTTTTTGTTTTAAATATTAAAAAAATTAATTACGCACTTTCCGAAGTCCTCGCCATCCTGAAGTGTCTCTGGCAAAGTGCATCCATTGGTTTCCGGTAATATCAATGCAAGAGCGGCACCAACAAGTGGAAATATGCCGAAAAGCACAGGCGGCAGCCAAGGCACAAAATTCTGTTGTTGGAGGAAAAAACGAAATGATGAAAAGACTGAAGTGTAATTGAATGTCTCTAATAAAAATCGACGTCCCGTTATTCTCAGCCCCAGTAAAAATATTTATCTCACCAGTGAAACTATAAATGGCGCCACCATTGATCCAATTCTAGCGCACATGCTGCTTGTACCAACGCCGATATTTCTTACGACTGTTGGGAAGAGCTCGCCGGAGAACAAATAGACTGTCGTGAATGAGACTGACATGCCAACAATTCCGAAACAAGCGAAAATTAACCTCAGCCAAGCTGCATCTACGGTCAATTCAAGGGGATTATTAGTAATCTTAAAGAGGAAAATAAATAATTACTACGACGTTACGGCAATCGCGATTCTACGTGGATCCGAATTTATAGCTTCGAAAATCGTCAGACTCGCTAAATTGTGGAGAAATTTTCTGGTTCTCGCCAATACTAAAAATTCTTTATTGCATCGCACATGTCTCGAATTTTTCAGAAAAATCGATGACTTTCCAGGAGTCGACAAGAACTCCAGAACAACAGACATATCCCTGTTGAAAATAGTTTGAAAAAGTCATCATTGAGAACATTCAACTGCTTCATCCCTCATTGCATCCCTCAAATTTCTCAATCGACTGTAAAAAAATCTTGGGACGTCGCCGAAATGATTGTGAAAAATGATTCCTTCCTAAATCTATGTAGAACATCGAAACCGGAAAATATATTCCGTCATAGCGAAACCAAACCCTTCAGATGAAATATAAAATTACTTTCGTGGTCTATCCTTTCTCTGCCGAAAACATGAAAAACCACAAAAACATAAATCTAAACACAAAATGTTTGCGTTAAATCTTGAATACTCACTCTGTGGTGCTGTGATCAAGAGAAGGGCTGCTAGGCCAGCTACAGTATTGCTGACGATAAGAGTTATCTTCCTGCCGAGTTTATTCATTGCCCACCAAGCAACGAAGTTTCCAGGTATCTGAGTCGCTCCAGACACAGCGAAATTCAGAAAAATATCACCACCCACTTGCCCAATGTACTGAGTCATACCGAACAATCCCATTCCACAAACGGTCCAGTTGAAGAATATCGCTAGGGATTTTATCCTCATGTTGGGGGTTCTGAAGAGATCTAGGATCGATGCTCCATGATCAGAGGCTGTCTTCCTCGAATTCTGATGAGAAAAGTCCATCAATCACTCGAATATTTCGAAGATCACTTCTCAAAAAATCATTATGTTGATGATTTTATTTATGGGACAATCTACTTTATTTTTTATTTATTTGACTTACGATTATTTCATTTCATAGATTTTATTTCATAGATTTCATTTCACGTGAATAAATTAATTATTTCATTTCAATAATTTCCATCCCATTGAAAGAATCTTTAGTTGATTCGAGTGGATTTTTAAATTACACTACCACAGAGATAATTTCATTTTTTTGTAATTAAAAGACAGCACGTCTATGGAAAGTAGAAGAATTATTCTTCAAGTATGAAGGAAATGATGAAAAAATCTCACTTGATGCAGACAGTGTTTTCGGACCATCTCCGGAATGTCCTTGTCCTCGGTTTTATTAACTCTAGCAGCTTTCCTGAGAATTTTACATGCAGCCTGTTGTTTGCCAACAGCTAGAAGCCACCTGGGTGACTCTGGAACAACCCACCAATATCCCAGAAGAATAATCGATGGCAGAGTGATTGCTAATTGGAGATGCTGCCAGTGACGAAAGTAGAAGGCTATTCCTGCTAATGACATGTGACCTAAACTATATGGAATCTGATAAAGGACTGTGATTGCAGCTCGCCACTGAGTGCCGACCATTTCCATACCTGAGAAGGAGCATTTCGATCAATTTAAATTGATGACATACATTCGTTGCAGGGACAAGCTATTTTTGATCGGGGACGGAAGGAACACTCCGTCTGTGGGGAAATTAATCAGATGAATTGCACGAGGAATATTACGTTTTGTACGATTGCAGGGACTACAGATGGGAATTCGTGTGGAATTTCATTCAAGGATTCGCAGAAATTGTCAGTGAATTCTCCGGAATTTCCTACTTACAAATAACATAACTCGTGACCATGGTTCCTCCTGTTGCCATCGCGGACAGTAATTTGAGAATTAGGAGAGCGGGAAACCACGGAACAATAGCACAACCAATTCCTGATGCCAATTGCAGAAGTACGGATATCATCAACGGAATCTTACGGCCAAATCTGCGAAATGTGATTACTTCGCTTATTTCTCTTAATTGATTAAATATCGATCATATTTAAATGTCTCTATTTATTCCTCTTAGAGATTTATGGAAAATTCAGTCACAATCTTCTAAATTTTCAATTATGTGAGATTGAATTAAATTTCAATTGAAAACTGTTGCTGAACCACTCATATATATTGAAAATGTTCTACTTTTCATTTGAAATGAGAATTGATTTTGCAATGAAAAATTGAATTTGGAGACTCATCGTAAAAATCTAATACCAAATTCAACAAAATTGTCGAGGATTAAACATTCAGGGTAGTTATTACCTGATTTTTTTGCGGAAAATTAAAGGCATTCGTTTCTACTGGAAATTCGTTTATAAAAGTGTGTAATAATTCCTGGTTGTTTCGCAATTTTGAAATTTCAGCTCTAAGAGATATTACACTAGTGCTGACAAAAAAAAATTCCACTATGAACGGATAAATATTATTGCTCACCGATCTGCCAAACTTCCGAATGTGATATTCCCCAGTAAAATTCCAAACATGAGTATCGACTGGAGTATATTAGCATAGTGTGATCTACCGCACACCAAACTCCACTGAAATGACATAACGAGTATCAGCACACGTTATTAATGAAAGGGAGTACATTGCAGGAATTAATTACCTGTGATATTATGGTCTCGGGGAAGATTGTTCTCTCGAAATTCCACTTATCACACGGGAGTCGAGTACCATTGAGATCAACGAGACACTGGTCCTTCGTTAGTGTACGCAGTGGGCTCGTGCAATTATATCCCTGGTTCAATGGTGCCATGAATACTATTGCCAGCTGATGCCAGGCCACTGGAAATTTCACCAGAGAGATCGCCAGGCAAATGAGGATTTGCCATTTCCCGAGGGCTCCCATTGCCTCCTGGACAGCGTCCACCTCCTCATGCTCATTCTGTCCCTTTTCTTTGACGGCATTTTTACCATTCACTTCCGCTGCAATCAGATCAATAGAATTATCACTTCTACCAGATGCTCCACGATTTTTCGAAAATATATCAACCCTTCCCCTTCATTTTTTGAAATTATAAAAAAATCAATGGAAATATCTTCGTGAGAGATATTGGTGCATTTTTGAGGCAGTTCTCCGAAAAATTTAATGAAATTATATTACATGAGATAGTCGATAGAAAAAAATCAATCCCTTTTGATTTTTGTTTTTGGAATGATTCATTTTAATTGAACAAATAAATTGTGTAATTCTGCGAAAAAAAGAAAAAAAATTAAATAAATATTTCACGTTTATTTCGTGGGCTGGGATTTTTATTCTCTTCAAAAAAATCGTTTTACGGGAATAAATCTATATTTAGGGTAATCAATTTTGTATTTTCTGTGAAGATATGAATCGTATAGAAAACATTTCAGTGAATATCCAAAAAATATCTAAAAAAAGCTTCTCCCCGACCCGAGTTCACCAATAATCGGGGTCCAGCCTCGGTGTTATCAACTCCGACCTTATTATTTTCTCCAAAAAAAATCCCCCCCCTTGCGTTATCATCCCCTAAATCGACACGCGTTGTGATAAATCGATTTTATAATTGCGCGATTTTCTCGCTGTTTACGTAATCCAACGCACACTATTTCCCTGCTCTATATTCACGCCGATAAAAGACGATTAACTATTATTAACAAATGGATAATAAAGAGCCCTATTGACTCCCGTCTTTCACCTTTCTTTCGTCAACTATTAATGATTATTTGATGATACATTTAACTCGACCATTTGTTAATTTGACTAACCTCATTAACAATAAATCAATGGTCAGATCAATTCAATTCGTAGTGATGTGCTCGAAAGGAATTGCTGTAGCAGGAATTAAAAACCCCAACAAGTGGTTTGGATTTAAATAGGAGATGAGAACTCACGTCGTGTTTTCGGAATTAATGGGAGCGTTTCCATGCGAAATCGGTAGATGCTAATTTAATCCCCGATTTGTTGAGGGCAACTGATCGTTTCGTCGATGTTCATAGAAACTTCCCGACACTCTGATCGATTAATTGAGGAAACGCTCGATTTCGGTTTCTAATAACGACCGATTTTATAAAACTGCCGCGAGACTTTGGTCCCCGAGCACGACTGATTTTTCCTCGGCCCGCGAGACAGTTCAAGGCTCGAACGAGTCTTGTCTATCAATCCAGTGAAATTTACTCAACAAAAAGAACATAAATAAAAGGATTGATAATGATTGAAGAATTCAGGCGGATAATAATGGGAAGGGGAAATTATTCCAAATCGGCAAACTATTTTGGAAACATATTGAGACAATATTTTTTTATTTTGCAGAGAATATCATATTGCAAAATACTGTTATTGAAACTTCTAGAATCTCCAATTGGTTTTCCATATTGAATCATTGACGAGCTAAGACAAATTTTAATAATGAAAAAACTTGATCTCAAGACTATGAAGAGTTTTAATTGATTTGATCCTGATGGAAGAATACGATTGGTAGTTTCGGGGAGTTATGGCTGATATCTCCTCTTTTTTCAATCTTTTTCGAATTTCTGGGAGACGGTTGATAAAATTGACGTGAAGAAATATAGCGTTTTTAAGTTTTATTATTATTCAATGTTTCACAAAGTTGCATCACCCTGTAATTTTCCAACGTTCTCGGTGAACTTGAGAAAAAATTTCCAAAACTTTAGCAGAAATCTACGGGCTTTTTGAGATGATTTCAATAATTTATTGGCAAACAGCGAATCAAGAAAAAAAATGTCCTACTTTGTAAAATTCTTTCTCGCATATCAATCAATAAACAATCAACGGACATATCAAATTTGCATATAATTTATTAACAAATGTAAGAAAAGTTTTCATTGCATCATCCCCATAAAAAAACAACCAACAAATAGTTTAAAGTGAGTTCAACTGAAGTGATTAACTATCGCCAATTGGGACAAGCCGAATAACTGATTAATCGATCATCAGAATTCATCTCCTGATTCAGATTTAAGAGAAATAAATGGATAAGTGATCTTTAGCTCGTACAATTCCATCGACACGTGTTTATATTATCGGAATGCCATGATGATTGTCGAGGGTAGGAGTGTCTCTCACGTCATGGAGATAGGGCATTCTGAGTGGACAGCAAAGTGGGTGTGTATTTGAAATAACAACTGGGATTGGCCAATGGAATGAAACATTCGAATCGGTGGCACAATATCGTAGGCGTCAATAATATCACGTGTCAGTGTCAACAGCTGTTAATAGAGGGCGCCCTGATGGCTAGATTTGACAGCTCGTGATTGCAAAAGGGACATGCGACCTTTGACCATTAGACACTGTTCGCCAATTCCAGGAACTTGTTGGAAAATTATATTTGAAATTTCAAATTTTAATTTTCGACGTCAAATTGACATGCAACTCCTGTAAGATTCATTGACAGCTCAATTATTTTTTGAATATTCCAGTAATTTTCGATTTTCAGATCAATAAATTCCCGAAATTTTTAATCTATCGAAAATTTCATTGTATTTAATGTTGAATTTTCTAGATAAGAAGTTTAATACATATTTAATACATGTTCTTAATTATTTTTAAAAAATTTAAAAAAATCTGTATCTGTTCTCATTTAGGCTTACCATGTAGAAATGGTTATTATTTATTTATTAGAAATGATTTGTTATCCCAAAAGCAGATAATTGACGTCAGAAGTGACGACATCATGATGTCGACTGATTTTTATCTCGTCGGGAAAACAAAGTCGAAGAAATTGATTCGATTATGTCGGAATTGAAATTCAATTCCGTCAAAACGGATATTGAAAAAAGTGTAAATAATGTAGTCAAATTTTATATTCATCCTCTATTCTTCAGATGTATCCTTTCATAAAGAGAAAAATTACTCGATGTGAATTCTAACTCAATGCGAGATTAAAGGTCTCGTTTATCAGAAAAGTCCATCATGCATTGAGTCCTTCATACTGTGATTAGCAAATAAATCAGTAAATTAAATGAAATCTGAATTTTCTGAACTCCCAACACACGAAAATCCCAGTTAATTAACATGTTAATGAATTTTCCAGCAACAAAATTGAATTATCACGTCATCAATCAGTTAAAGTAATTGTCGAACAATTTTGCGGAATAAAAATGTTTATTTTCATTTCTTGGAATCATTGGTGTTTATTGCTGAGAAGAATATCATAAATGCCTAATGATTTTGCTCTGGTTCATGAGGAAAAAATAGTTCATTTCGAATAATAAACGGCTTAAGTACGTGAATCAACTTTGCATTCTTCATTTTCAAAGGTAATTATCCTACGAAGGCTGCACCGATGTATCACCGCGTTGCGATATTTGACACAGATATTCCACCAGCGCTATAATTTTGTTATTGACAAAGAGCAAATGGTCTCAATGTTTCGCACATTTTTCCCAAAGTACAAGCCACATGCGGTCTGATTGGCAACGACATGAATAGCTGGATAATACCACAGCTTTGTTGCTCTATTCTCAGGCGTGAATGATACTATGGCACTTTCAAAACAACTAGACTGGATTGAAGGTGAGCAACGCCAGTCCGAGATTTATTGAATTATAAAGGAGTTCTTTATACTGCGGTTAGAATCTTCTGGCTTATCTGCTATGACAGGGTTGTAAGTTGCTGGTGAATTATCAGGTATCAAGGTTAATTTTTTTAAAATCAAAGCCACCCAAGGCATTTGAAAAACTTGCTTCTCATTTCGGCCAAAAAACTAAATGTAGAAATTTTTTATTTGCGAATGATAGGAGCAAAATACTGAAGATTAGCGAATTCGTTTGCTGGGCTATTAGTCTTTCGTCTCGTGTTTTACACATGAATGGAAATTTATGACAAGTTATCAAATATTCTAAATACATGTCTCGCTGGCGCCAGCATCAAACACAGGTGATTCACATTTGCGTAAATCATCAGACCTAATACGCATTGCGAGACGCTTTATCAGTCGTCAAGTTTGTCTAGTATTTAGTCGGTAGTCCATCGTTAATACGAAATGAAATGTAATGAAATTTTTAAAAAGTCTAATAACTCTTTAATGTTGACAGTTTGGAGATGGATACACCCGGACAAACGATTTATTTGGAGATTTCAAATGTCTTAAATTAAGACTCGAACTTCAAACATTCGAAATTCTCAAGTTGAAATCTTCACGTTTCAACTATTCAGATTTTTCTTCAATTGAGGTGTGGCTTGGTCTCCGAATGAAGGGTTGGAATGAAAATTTATTTAATTTAGAATAAAACCTGGGATTAATAATTTCGATACGAAAATATCACATTGAGACGCTTCAAGGTCTTAATTAGGGCTCAAAGAAGTTCCAACTCAAGACGTTTGAAATTCGCAAGTTGATACTTCCCAAGTGGAAATTCGAGATTAGAAAGCATAAGCTTAAAAACTGTTAATTATCAATTTGAATTGTAATTTGCGAATGATAGGAGCGTAATGTTTAATTTTTCAAAGTAATGTTCGATTTTTTAGGCGTATTCGAAGGATATTAACTTCTTTCTCCCCAGATACCATGGAACACCGGTCCTTGAGATTCAAAATGACCTTTCCATTCATACACTCAGTGCTAAGAGGCCTTCAATACTCCGTCATTACCACAAATTTGCTCCAAAGATAAATGGAAAAGCATACCGTATCCATTAGTTTGAGTATTCTTCATATCACCGGGCTATGCCGACCCCAAATTCTCTAGCTTTTGGTGCTTTTTCTGCGATGAAGAAATTTTCTTAGACTCTGAAAAATGAATAATCTGTTATTAAAATTAATTACCATTAATTATCGATGAATTTTTTAGTGATCCAATAGATCATTAGAATTTCCCATTGATTTCCTTATTCCGTTAAAAAAAATTGAAACTTCTCGTGCCGGTGGTAATAATTTTTAGAATATTTAAATAATCTTTAGGGAATAATTATCCGAATATCGTAATGAATGTCAACTTTGTGTTAAAAGTCTGGAAGGAAGTATTTTTTGGGTATAGTTTGGGATAAGGAGATGAATTATCGGCGGTTTTAGTAACTATTGAGGAATTTTTAGTGATTATTGGGGATTTTTGGGGTGATGCGGTCACCTGTGGTGATAAGGAGCTCTTTTCACCGAGACTCGGTCTAAATTCTTCCTCTCGTTATCGCACCAGAGAATGGAGAGTTTCCTTAATGGACGGGATAAGCAAGTGTTAAATGTCAAATGCCATGATAACAATTTTCGAGGGGATGACTGAGTTGAACATTTTGTTCGTTAACTTGATGCACGCCGGAAATGTTGAAACCGAGAATTTGAATTTAACCAGAAATTTAAATTTATCGTACCCCTCCAATTATTCTTAGGTCATTGACTATTTTATCACGTTTCAAAATACACCAACACTTTCCTAAAATGGACTCGAGGAATTTAATCAATTCTGTCAATTCCCGATGTTCGTTTGCATTAACAATTCATTAATGTGCATTAATGGTTGAATGTGAATTAAATGTCACCGGAATACGATCGCCGCTGGATTGTCGATAGAAATTTTCCAAAATTAATTAGCTGCTGATAAATCTTCCATTACGTACCACCAATTGAGGGGAATTGACAAATCAACAGTTTATAACCCGAATGACTTACAAATCGAATCACCCGAGTGGCAAATACAACAAATGGAAGCTAATTACAGTAATTTCTCTGATTTCACCATCGAGGGGAGAGAAGGAGAACTGATAAATATTGAATAATTTCTCTTTATTCAGGGTTCGATAGGTTCTCGGGGAAATCTCAGAGGCCAGGTTTAATGACTGATAATAATGTATGAATAATTGTTGCGTTGAAACGGCCAGTGGAATCGTGAGAATGAGCTAAAATAATTCAAATCCAAGCTTTCACTACTATTTTTTTCTCGAGTTGAATACTCAATATTTTAATTGTCATCGTTACGGATAATTATGTATCCAAATCCAGTCCATTCACTACCCATAGAATAATTAATTGGAATGCATCCCTTTTTTTAATTTCCGGTGAATCTACAATGGAGAAAAATATTTATTTTCTTCCTGAATAATATGGAAAATATGGAAAATATGGAAAATATGGGGAACTTTATCCTTGATTCACAAAAAATCTTTAAAATTCCTTTTTGAGAACGAAAATTTTTTTCTCTGTCCAATTTATTTTCTATCTATTTCTTATCTATTTCAATGGTTGGATTATCGATAAAAATTGGGTTGAGGGAAATGCCAGACTATTTATAACTCATCTCTGACGATTATCCATTCACGCGGCAAATTAGTCGTTATTGAATAGTTAATCCTATTTAATCTCCTGTGACGGTGTCACTTTGTCTTGCTCCTGTTCGATTAACAAATAAAAAATTAGGTCTTCGTCGGAGATTCAAGAAGTGCAATGCTGACGTCTTCGGGGTTTTCCAATAAAAAAAGGTGAACGTATGATAATCAGGCAGGCCTGAACAATTCTGTTTGAATAATTTTTTTAATTCTCTGTGTTATGAGACAATCTTCCTTCCACTTCGACTGATTTAAACCGACAGCCCAGCCGCAACGATGACGTGTTGGAACTACCATAACTGATAACTCGACTTGCGTCTCAACTTTCCTTCAATTCAACTAATTCCAGTGATTCCCAACGAAAAAAAATTTACCACTGAGATTCTCTAAAAAAAAAAACATAAAATTCTTGGACTAGGATATCATCATTATTAATTATCAAAATTATTATCAATATATTACAAAATGTGAAGCAACTGAAAATATCTGCGATCAAATATTCTTGACGAAGAAATGCTTCAAGAGAATTCGGAGAGAAATATTTTTTGTATTGCAAAAAATAGAGTATTGATAATTCTAGTTATGATTCTGTTGATTGAGTTCTTTAATAACGGAATATGAATTATTAATAGGAATGAAAATTGCCAGGTATTCGCACGTAAATTTTTCCCGATTTCATGAATCCTCTGATGGACGGTCCAGGTATTTTAGAATGGCCACATATTTGCTCGTATTTCTATTCATATTCAGCAATACCGATTGATCCGGTTGTCGGAGAGAATGCTGCGGTTGAGAACGAGGTCGCTGAATTGATAATGAAAAAAATAATCCCCATCCAACAACTTTTACAATATTTGCCTGATAAGAATCAGCGTGCCTGCTCAGCCGGCAATTAAAATCAACTGTACATCGCCCGTCATTAAACGATTTAGCTACATCCCGTGACTTCTCGAACCTCCCGCACGTGTGACGAAATTCTTATCTCCGAATGTGTCGATTTTTCCGCGATATGCATGCTAAACCGACGCAAATTCTAAACCGCGAGATATCTGCAGCAAATATTGACAGGATTACGAAAAATTGTGGCATTACTCGGTCAGGATTCCGTTGACTACGGAAAAAAACATCGGCTAATTGATTTATTAAGGTTAAACAAATTTATTTGCGAATGGAATTGAGAATTTTAGTTCGGATTTTAGCTGGAGATTTGACGCATTCTGGTGGGTCAAGTAAATTTTGGTTGTGGACAATATTTTTTTCTCAGTGGGACGAGGTAAGCAACGACAGAAATATCGGTGCATTCGTATTTCAATAATGCAGTGGCCATGTCTCGTCACATACCGATAATCAAGGCTTTGCCCGTGACACAGAGATATACGTATTTATGTTACGCACTGTGGGGGTGACCGGCGTAACAAGTGTCTCGACATGTGCAACCAGGGGAATTCCAAATTATAAACTATTTATAGTCCTGATGACGCTTATTAATCAGTTATTACTCGTCATGGCTTACTCAGGCCTTTATTTCTTTTAATCATTAAAGTATTACTTGAGAAATGGCCGGATTGTTTTATTTTTTGAAAGCTTAAAAACATTTTTCCAAAAAAAATTGTACCTGAAAAAATTACTTCAATCAAACCTTTTATTAATATAATTAAAAAATTATAGATTACTTGGATCTTGAGTTGTGCACTAACAATTGGAAGATTAATTAATTCATCGACAAAAAAGTGGAATTATATTATTTCAAGAATTTTTCATTGTTAAAAATAATGGTAAATAAAATAATTCAAGATTTCGAAATATTTCTTGGTATAAAGGTTTTTAATAATTTATCAAGTGAAAGTAAATTATTAATTCAATAGCATTATTTTGTCGACATTTTTTTAAACTTTGACGAAATGATTAACAATAAAAGTTACTGATTTATTTTATTCCGAGAATAAAATTTTATTTGAGGAAAATTCGATCTGTTAAGAACCATTAACTCGAGACGAATGTAAAATTATATACGATATTTATAATCCAGTGAATGGTTTTAATTAATATTTAAAGTATAATTTATACGAGAGGTGTATCATAGAAAATAGTAATTACAGTTTCAATAAATTTTTTTATCGAATTCGACTGAAGAATAAATATAATCACCTACGAACTGGTTTCTCTAATAATTAAAATGAAATGGTGTTTCTCAATTCCATCCCGTTGTTTCATCATTCAATCTATCAATGATGCATGAACAGTACTGTGCGACAAATGGGAATGGTAATCTACGGGAAATCAAAAAGGAAAAAAATTCGCTGTTGTTTTTATCCGCGTGAAATTTACATTTTAACATGTGACACTGTGGCATGTGTAATAGAACTTCGATTTCGGTTTCAATGTTGCCAAGAAAATGTGATAGCCAACTGTTCAGCAAGTAAGTTATCACCTTCGCGATGCTGTAAACTAGAATTTAACTGCATTGCTTTGTTGCTTTCTCATTAACAGTTGCAAGATTTAAATCACGGAATTAAAAATTAAAAATTAAAAATTAATTACTCCATACACAACTGTTTTCCCCAAAGTATTAATTTATTTTTACTCCTCATTGAAGAAATCTATTCTTGAAATCAATTAAAGATTGATAAATGACCAGCGACTTGGATGTATGAAAAAAATGTAAAATATTGAAAAAAAAAACAGGAGAAAAAATTCTAATCCGAGAACAAGTCTGTCTTATTGCGACGCCGTTAAAATTTACGAGAAATCCCCGGATTTGAGATATTCAATATAAAATGAGGCGAGCGCCAACGAATGTATTTGGCACCTTTCCCCGGAAAATTCGCGCACAATTCGTCTAATAATAACAAAAAACATTTCCCCACAGCGTTCAATCGCTGACGGCATTTCTCCATTCCCTCACCAGTCAAATAAAAATTCAGTTGCAATCGTTGTACTCACTATAGATTTCCGATCGATCCGGAAGTGCAACGACCGCTCTTTCTCCTCCCGGAAGCCCTCCACCGGCGCCTGAGCAACGGTTCAATTTCAAATTTCAACTGTCACACGGATTTATTTATCTCCACCCTCTAGCAATACAACTCAACGTCAACCAACTCTCCAGCCCCAGAGATATATTTAATTCTGCTAACCGTCAAATCGGAGAATTGCGTCAAGTTCACTATTAACTTTGAATATATACTCCACCCACTATTCCCGCGCTTTTTATTACCGCTATTGATTTTTTTTTTGCTCTCGTTAGGGAGCGGCACATTAATCCCGATATATATATATATATATTTTTTTTTATTTTCGATTGGCGTTACTGTTGGTTACTGTGGCACGTTACAAACTGAAACTCGCGCTGTAAGTTTGTTGGGCATAAACTCGGTCTTGAAATGGGCTCCCGGAACGAGCGCCACGCGTTAAAGAGGAGTAGAGGAGGTGGTGGTGGTCGACACCCGAAGAGAGGAGGATTTTTACGCAACTGTGGTGGATAATCAAACGTCATAACAACATCGGGATTACGATAATAAGTCACTCGTTATTACTCTCAATAGTCATAGGAAAAATATAAACACTCGAGGAAAGGACTTGTCAGACAGGAAAAAACAATTTTCTGGTAAATAAATTCTGTTGCGAAATGGCAAACTGGAAACGGTGCGTTGTTTCAACGCCAATTTTCAGAAAATATCTTGAATATTCCATTATGGGATTGAAGCGAGGGTTGAAGTAATGAACACTTCGATTTGTATTTTCACTTACATCATTCATTCCCAAGGAATAATTTGTAATTTTACTTTAGGCAAGAGATACGCTCTAAGAACACTAGTTGGGCCTTAGTCTAGGACTTTTGGAGCAATAATATTTTCACTCCTCGAAAGGTGCATTGCCTTTTCCCGGGACAAGTCCCAATCGCTAAATGTTGCTTAGGGATTGACAGTAATAAACATAAGTTTGTTTGTAAAATACAAGACAAGAATGTGGGCTTTCCTTATCTTAATAATAATATCTGGAGAAATTATAATCTCCAGGGAGGATGGGCATTTTCGGCGAGGGCAGAAGGGTCTCCTTCAAAAAATATTTACTCGGAATCGTACTTTTTTTTATGAAACATTTTTACCACTCGTAGTGGATGCATTTCTATCTATCGATGTAATCATTAATGGTACTGGTCATAAGGAAACTCAAGAAAATAACATGCTGCGAAAATGATAATGCTCAACATTCTTGGAATAGAGAAGAGAGTAGATTGAAGAATTCCTTCGACAGTACAATAAAAAAATCATTCAATTGTGGTCAAGCTCTAGTGAATACCCGAATATGAAAAAGTATTATTTCCTCAATCACCGTTTTCTCACTAGAAAAACTGGAGAGATTATTTATTTCAATCATATAAACAAAGTTTCTTTAAAGGACTACAAAGTTATTTTTTCACTCAAATTTAATACAGTTTTTCTTTTCTTTTAATAAAAATTGAGTTTATTCCATCAATTTACATATTATATAATATAAAAATCAGAGAATGAATAAAAAAATTATGTTCGCAGTTTTTTAATAAAATTTAGGGTGTATATAAATTTAGAAGTAAGAAAATTATCCATTTCAGATAAAATAGAAATTGATTTGTTTTCAATAAATGATTTACTCAATATAAAAAAACGTGTTGTTTTTTTAATCTAGTGAAATTTCACGCGAAAGAAAGTATCGAATAAATTTTTTTGTCCGGCCCCAGAATTTAGCAAAAAGCCGATAATAATTAAAGGCGCAATTCTGTCACTAGTATAACTTTCGAAGATAGAGTGATATGTTAGTGCGAAGGACATTGCAACACCTCGCAAGTGATATGCAATCGTAATTGTTTACAAGCGCAACGGACATATCTGTAATAACCACATTAATTAATCACTTCAATTAATGACGAAGACATCCGCAGGATAAACTCACGCGCAAATAACAGAGAATTTACGCCATTTGTTCAATTAACCTCGAGCTAATGAAATTGTTGGAATATATATTTTTTTATTCCGCGGATTTTTTCACTGTGTTTTCCTCCTTTCAATAAACAAGTTCTCAGAATCTCGGAGTGGCAAGATGCAATAAACACGGTATCCTCGATATTCAGTGGCAGACATGAATTTTACTGCACACGTTCGTCAAAGTTGGGAAGGGAATGTGGAAAGGCGCCTCGAAGGACTCACTTGCCGTGAATCGACGTAAAATGCATCAGTGAGAAGGGGTCGGCATTTGCTATCCAAGGCAGACACGTACCAATCGATTTATGAAATTACCCGTCATGTCTTATGTACGTTCAAACGTAAACTTACTCAAAAGTTCACCAAAAATTTATCCTGTAATATTGCCTTTTAATTTAGAAACTCTCTTGTAATTTCTCTATCCTGAAATCATCTCAGATGAAAGAAAGATGTCATCAAAAAATTAACACTGAAATATAGTTTTTCTGCTGGAATTATATCTTAAATATATCTCGAATGTAATTGACATATATTTCTGCATATATATAGTTTCGGGATATTTCCGAATGTGTATGGTTTAAAAATATACATTAAATGAAATGTAACTTTTATATTCGCATTAAACCAACTCCATATAATATAAAAAAAAGATAATTCTCAAAATTATTTTTCCGTCAATTACTGGTAAAAGGAAACTAATCAATGAATTACTCCCCTATTACCGGAGTACTTCATTCGTTTTTTAATGCACTAAATAATGTTGTTAAAATGCAATTACTTTTTTATTTGAATTTTCTTCTCAAAAATGTAAAAAAAATAAAATGATGTAAACAGGCAGAGTCATTAATTAATTTATGTAAGCATTCAAATTGTTTCGACAAACGTAATAATTGATAGTTTCAGATTTAGGAGTGTTACGCGTCAGACAAAATATGGAGTACAGAGAATATTTAACGACCGTGATTCATCGTGCCTTCTGTAGTGATCGGAGAATATTCTCAGGTATAATGATAGCTTCTTAATTGTAGTTGAGGAAGAGGAGCGGTTATGAATGTCATGAGCTGCTGTTAACATTCACCGACATGAAAAAGGGATAAACGGGGAAAATGGATGTATGAACGCTTGAATGCGATGAAATATTTGTAGATCACTTATCTGATAAACTTCTCGACACCCAGCGGATTTCAAGTAAGCGGATAAGTTCGCATTAGTCAGATAAAAATATAAAGAGCGGAGATTCACTCCATTTTTTCACCCACTCTTCTCCTCTGGGAGCTTTCTACCTGAGCAGAATATTCCTCCAGAAATTACGATAGTACTCCCAGGAGGTTCTTCAAGTTGTTTACAGATTGCAGCCGAGATTGTTTCCTGATTCTCTATCCGCTAAAGGGTGGAGCGACGAAATCACGAGGTAAAACGACATTTCAGGGGAATTGATCACTGTGGGAGTGATAACACTTGTTTGATCCCCTGTTGATGAACATATAATAAAACCAATTCCTCAATTCCTGAAATATACATGCGGACAGAAATAATAACAATTATCCGAACCTTTTAAAGAATTTTTTTATAGGACATTACATGATATTTAGGGATTATTACCGAAAATTGGAGTCAAAATTGGATAATACTGATGAAAAATTACAATTTTTCGCGCAAGTTTTACTCAGCCTTATCCATTGTTTATTCCAATTCAATAATAATGGTTCGACGTATGGTGTGGAAAGTGGCATTTTACGCACGCTCCACGTCCGCCAGACTCCACTCCCCACACATTTCCATACCCGTGAGAAAAGTGATTAGATTAGATGTCCTAAAAGCCCGGGCAATACATTTCCGGAGTGATTTTCAGGTTTCTCCAGTTCGGAAAGTATGTAGTACCAATTCCCAGGCAATAAATCATGAGATGCAGTACGGAAAAAGCTTCTTACAAACCAAGTATGCAAAAAGTGCCCTTTTTCACTCATATCAAGAAAACTTCTCTGTTATTCTTATGCTTACTAACTTCCTTATTAACGAGTGTTTATCCATAAGTGGCTTGATTGCAGCAAATTTGTTTACGGCAGTGGACCCAGCGACTGATAAGCAGCAGCTGTCGGGATCATTTTCCTCTGTTCGTTTCGTCTAATTAGCGTTCCTCGCGGGAAGCCCTCGAAGTCTCCCATCAATTGAATTGCACACTAGAGACTAATATGGTATCACATTTCGTTAGGATTATGTATTCCCAAGAAGCGCAGAATAATGCAGTAATGGAGTTCCTCGTAATATTTCATCAACCGACTGTGACAAATACATCATAACTGAAAAGTTTCCCGATGATTCCAAGTTAAGTAGGATATGAGCTTTAACAGCGTAATTCCAGTATTGTAGCTGAACTGAGTGATTAATCATCTCTCAGCCCCACGTATTTCGATCTACTTTCCAGGAAAATGAAAAAATTATCGATCTTTTTCATTCCGATGTGATGAATGCGTCGGGGATGCGCCGAGATAACGGTGACAGGTCCTTAGTCTCTCGGTGGAAATTTTCGTTTCGATGATCCAGTTTCATAACATTTATCGCCCTAGTGGAATATTTTGTATCTCCATTATTGAAGCAGCGGGAATGCACTCGCATCAGAAGTATTTTAGTTCTCAATGAGTTTTATCTTCAGGCTACAGTCATCACTGATACGCCAAGGATTTTATTCCTAAGGAAAAATTTAAGAAAATTGTATTGATATACGATATACACACTTTTCTTTTTTCAATCAGTTTCATTGTAATAATTGGAATTGATAACTCTTTTAAATTATTTGACTAGTGTAGCAATCAAGAATTTCGTACGAAAATGAATCATTACGTTTATAATAATTGTCTCGGAAAATCATTATGTACCAGCTTAGTAATAATTACTAATTGTTTTGAAGGAAAAACTCCAAAAAATTCGAGTGAATAGCACCTCCATGCCGTTTACGAATAAAATATTTCTAAACTAATAAGCATAATTGCAATAATAAAAATTGACAACTCGATTGAATTGTTCAACTCCAGTAGCTATCAAGAATAATTACAAAAAATGACCAATTATTTCTGTGATAATTAATAGTTTCAGCAAATTGGTAATCACTCAATGAGTTATCAATGAAGAAGTAGGAGTTGATAATCACGAATTATCCAATTAAGAATAGGCGGTAATTATTTTGAGGAAAAAGATAGGATCAGTTCTTAGAATAGAGTCTTTTCGAAGAGATAAAAAATTTGGATAATACGAGGGAAAAACGGACGGCTTTTGACACGATAAGAGGAGGAGATTAATCGGACTTGAGATGCGCCCTCGAATGTTTCCGGTGGTGCGTCAATATTCCGTGATTATGTCGGAGGAAGTAATTTTTCATTAACCGCATTTTTCACATCCTGTCATTAACCCTGAGATCTCGCTGAATTCGTGATGCTATTTTTCCCCGGACTTTAGTAGAGAGTCGTCCGTCTTGATCAAGCAATAATGAGGTAATGAATTTAATTGAGTAATCTTCGGATTTTGGCCGGATTATTGCGGATTCCCCCGGAGTGCCAAGATATTCACTTTATTACCGGATGAGACTAATTACTACTGGCACGAATAAAGTCCGGGTATGATCACTGGCTCGTTATCGACCCACGCTGTTATCAATCGAGCAGAAGTCTCGGTACCATTTGTAAGCAAGTTCAATACTTCTTTATCCCTCACAGAAAACAACTTCTACCTTCCCCTTCTACAAAATTCTCTGGAATTCCCTGATCGAACGACTGTAGATTAATTGCCGCTTTTTTCACATCCATACCGAATTCATTAGTTTATTATTATGAAATTCCATTAACAATATTGACTTATAATACCTCGAGGAAATTCTCGAATATTTCCCGATTCAAATTTCAGTTGTTAAAATGACACCTCGAGAGGAAGTCTATATTCAGAAAATGAGAAAAGATATTTGAAAAAGACAGAATAATTCAATCTGTTGATTTCAATCAGTGGGAACTCGATTCAACAACTTTATATTATATATATATAGGCAAGAGACAGAATAATCGAAGAATTACCACATGAGCTCCAAAATTATCGAAATATTCCCTAAAAGGTTCTCTGTAAACAAATAAAGGCATTAATTTTTTCAGGTGAAAAAAATGGAGCACCGGGCGCAAAAAAATCATTATTCATATCTCATCATGTTAATCCATATTCATTCGATTTATCCAATTATTTTCTGATTATTTACTCACGAAAATACCCAGATGACCATAGAAAACAAATTTGTTATTTTGATGATTAATTGATGATTAAAAAAAATTCCAATCTCATCGAGTCGGTGCATCTGTCGATGCATCAAATCCAATCCTCTGAAGTATTGATTATTTTCTGCGATTGATATCGACCCAGATTAATGGCAACTGACCCCTCCAGATACGACCCCCACGCTTCAAGTGTCATCGCGATATTTCAGTAGCCGCTCTATCGATTCTCGACTGCAGTGTCTCATCGTCGATCGATTCGAAAAGACAGCATTTAACGGTTTTTAAGGATCAGCCAGAGGTGATTTACGTGGGAGGATAATGTGGAAGCTCCTTCTACTACTCACGGTCGCATTGACCACAGCGATGAAATTTGTGGATCAACCTCCATCGAATGTACGTATGAATTATTTCATTACGATTTAATAAAGAAAAAATTATTATTACGCCTCCCAAACAATTCACTTAAAAATAAATCAACTAATTTCATTGGCTGCCACTTTGAATTAATGTCACCGTTGCGATAAAATGATAATCAATCGAATTATCAATTCGGCTTATCACATTTTATCACTGCACTGTTGAATTATTCAAAATTAGTCTATCCAGTAAAACTTAGAAAAGCGCATTGAATAATGATATTAATTTGAGCGATAGAAAATAATGTAAATGGTTACTGAATTATTACTTACTTTAATCTACAGCTAAAGAACAACTCGGAGAAGTTTTCCATTCTCAATGAGGAAATTTCCAGCTAAAATAATTGTTGTGTAACTAGAGCGATTGAATATTGCCGTAACGTTCTATAACAAACTTCTGCATTCCAGAATACAACGGTTCATGGTTTCGAGGTTGATTATGAAAATAATCAATTTTTACTGGATGGAAAGCCTTTCCGTTACGTTTCCGGAAGTTTCCATTACTTTCGGACCCCCAAGGTCTATTGGCGAGACAGATTGAGAAAAATGCGAGCAGCGGGTCTCAACGCCGTTTCCACGTGAGTCTTTTAATAGCTCATAATTCTTTTTTTTCTGCTTAAAAAATTCACGTAACTTCTTCTGTCAGCATTTTCTTTTGTTCAGGTATCGTATAATATGATAATAAAGTTTTAAAAGAAATTGAATGTGCTATATATTATAAATTTAATTAAAAAAATCAAGTCTATAGAAAATGTGTTTTTTCAAGCTGAAACATGCACTCCTTTTCTGGACGTGTATACAATGGTCAATTTTTACAAAAAAAGAATAAACGGATAATTTAAAATCGAAATTTTGCCATTTCGCTCCCAATTCGTGGTCATTTCCGATTTTTTAAATAATTTTTCCATAAGAATTTTGTAACTGCCCACCGTCCCCCCACAGATAACTCTGTGGAAAATTGTTTTGCTACCTCGAAATGAAAAAATAGAAAAAAAAAACGAACGTCTAAATATCTCCGATGGAATAGGCTCGGCCAACTAATTATTTTTAACTCCGAAAGCAATACATTTTTCTCAAATTATCCATGACTAAAATTTTCTGAAAAAAAAAAATTATGAAGACTGAGTGACGATTTTGAGACTCGAAATAACCATGTACCTTTTTGCTACTCTTAATCCTGAAAATGAAAATAGTTACGTCGAGTGGAGCCTGCACCAGCCAAGACCGGACGTTTGGAAATGGGACGGTGAAGCGGATATTGTAGAATTCCTTAAAATTGCTCAGGAGGAGGATCTCCTGGTGCTTCTGCGACCGGGTCCATATATTTGTGCTGAGCGTGACCTGGGTGGTTTGCCACCCTGGCTGATGACCCAGGTACCGGATATAAAGATGCGGACGAATGACCCTCGTTACATGGAGTACGTCAAGACGTACTTCCAGCAGTTGTTGGTCCGGGTGGAACCGCTGCTCAGGGGCAACGGCGGACCCATCATCATGGTGCAAATTGAAAATGAGTACGGAAGCTTTCCCGCTTGTGATATTAAGTACAGAGAAGGCCTTCGGGACATAATCATCCGTTACGTCGGGAGCAAGGCCCTCTTGTACACAACCGACGGATCCGGCACTAATTATCTTCGGTGCGGAGTTGTCTCAGGGGCTTATGCCACAGTTGACTTCGGGGCTGCAGCAAACATCACAAATGCCTTCGGCGCAATGCGCCAGTATCAGCCAAATGTAATTCCTCACAATTTTTTTCTAATTCCCAATAAAGAACTACAGAGAAAACTCATTGTTACATTTAGAAAAAATCTCAGGAGAACAATTTTTACAATTGAAAATTCGATTTACGAGGAAAAATTCATGGAAACGGAAAATATCAGGGGAATCTGGAAGTGAGTTTTCATATTTTTATTGGATGTTCATCAGATGTGGAAAATTTTCAACGATTTTTTCCTTAACAATCTCATAGTCATTAGATTTAACACAATAATTACAATAATAATTAATAGAAACGGAGAGACTTCTGAATTTTTCCTCGGGGAATACCTTGTATTATAAATGTATGAATTATAAATTATAATTATCAATGAGAATTAAAAAATGGTCTCCTGATGTTTCAAATGGTCTCAGGGTCCTCTAGTAAACTCTGAATACTACACCGGATGGTTGACCCACTGGGACGAACCCTTCCAGCGAGTCTCCACCGCAGCATTCATTAAAACCCTCAAAGAAATGTTGAACTTAAACGCCTCCATGAACCTCTACATGATGTACGGCGGAACGAACTTTGGTTTCACCGCTGGAGCTAATGGTGGGGCCCAATACTCCCCGCAAATAACTTCTTACGATTACGATGCACCTTTGACCGAAGCTGGCGATCCCACCGATAAGTATTTTGCGCTTCGTGATGCACTCTCTCAGGTACAGATAATGCACCAACCATTCAGATTAAAATCTTTTGATTTTCTTCATGATTAGATAGGATACATTTTTTAATCTTCATGAACCACAATGAAGTAATATTTACTCAAATCAATTGCCGTATCTTGTGGATAGGATTCTTCGAATCAGACTGATTATTAATTTTAATAAAAGGAGGTTTCAATTGAACAAGTAGTTTTTGCGATTTGAGATTGAGATTCGAAAAAAATACTTTTGTGGAAATTGGTATATCTCAAAAAATGCTCGACCGATCGATCTGAAATTTTTCTCAGATATGCTCCCAAGTAATACTCATTATTTCAGAAAATTTCAGATTTTTTGTTTGAATTTTACTCCTTTTTATAGATTCTTTTTTTTCTGAACATCGAAAAACCCGCACATACATTCACGTGAAGCTTCGTGTTTTCACGCTTTATAACATTTTCTATAATTTTCAGGCAAAATTGGATAATCAAAAAAATGATCGATTACAAAGCTTCCATTCGGAAGCAAAACTCCATAATTATCGATTTATCAAGTTTTTGTATTATTCATTGTTCGGACTCCAGATAATTTGATTTAACAAATTGAGAATTTTGGTAGAAATTGGAAGGCGATGATTACCCTAGTATTTTTTACAGTATCTTCCGATGCCAGATTTACCGTTGCCTGTGGTAGCACCGAAGGGTCATTACGGAGTCGTTGGGCTGCAACCTGTCACCAGTCTTTTTGATCGTCAAGCGAGAACCCTGGCAGCGAGAGTTGCCCTTTTCGAGAAAGCTCCGACCTTCGAGGAGTTGGATCTCCCGACTGGAGTCGTACTGTACGAGGCTGAACTCCCGGCTGGTTTAAAAGACCCTGCGATTTTCAGAGCTGACGTCGCGGACAGAGCCCTCGTCTACCTTGACGATTACCTGGTGGGAACCCTTAGTCGAACCCTCAAGATCAAGAGCCTCCCTCTTCCCAACCCCTACGCTAAGAGGATTCAGGTACTCGTAGAGAGTCAGGGGCACCTCAATTTCGGGAATCTCGTTGAGGATTTCAAGGTAATTGAAAGATCATTGAATAAAAATTCACACCAAAATATTATTGGATTCGTAATCTAATAAATAATCAGTTTCATGCGTCACTCTTTATTAAACAAATTTAGTAAAAAAGTGATTAGCGTAACAGTTTGACTGTCGACGTGGATCCACTAACGCGTCCACGTCCCATAACCCATCCCTCCACGGTATTAAAAATCTAACGCTGAAAATGAAACAATTCATTGTTAACGAAATTATTTTAGGGTATGTTCAATGCGGAAATTGATAACAAACCCTTGAAGAAGTTCAACGTGAGTGCTTTTCCCCTGGACGTTGTGCAGACAGTGAGGAACTTTTCGGCGACGACATTCACTTCTGGAAGTCAAGTAAGAGGTCCGTTCATTCTACGAGGGTTGTTCGATGTGACCGGACAACCCCTAGACACCTACCTCAGCACAGCGGGATGGGGGAAGGGGGTGGCTTACATAAACGGCCACAACCTCGGACGATACTGGCCGAAGGCTGGACCCCAAGTCACTCTTTATGTACCCGGGGCCTGGCTCAAGACCGGAGTTAACGAACTCATTGTCATTGAGTATGAATACGTTCCCCCTGCTGTCCGCATGGTCTTCCAAGGGGCCCCCAATTTAGGAAGATCCCGCATGAGAGTCTGATCTCCCTTTTTTTCATTTAATAAGTATTTCATATTATTTTAATGTGGTAGAATCAGAAACATACTTTAATAGCGTAGAACAGTTGAGAATTATCTTATAATATTTTTGTACATCCATTCTATGGAGCATTTATAATACATGTATCACACAATTTGAAAAAATAAATCGATAAAAAAAATCGCAAATGCTTTTACAGAGAAGAAGAGTTCGTAAAGTTCTCGGCCAAAACGGGACAGCATTATCTGTAAAACGACTGAAAAAAATTAGTCATTTCTCAATAATAGGGTGGAATCAGCTGAGAACAATCTAAAGAAGATGAAGGAAATTAATAATTGTTTAAAAATATGAGGGGAAACCAACATCTTGAAAACCGCTTACGATAGAATGAGGGCATATGCCGACAAAATGGCGTCCGCCTGCCAAGCATCCCGGTTTTTAAATATTAATGAAAGTATTCATTTTCTTCAGATCATATTTAATTTAGGTTTATTCTTTCCATTCCACACATTTTGAGGATTAATATTCACTTCTGCGAGCTGTTAACTGCGCAAAACGAAGGGTAAAGATGACAATAAATTGAACTGTTGTATAATATTGTGCGTTGAGATCGAATGTTATTTCTCAATTGTGAGGCACAACAAAAAGATCAATGATTTTTTCTTCCCTGAAAACCGAGTGTTTATGTGTCTATTCTACTCCCAGGACTTCTCCCTCTCCATACCATTTTAAAAATACAAAAATGATGAAGCATGACGACGTAAAAATTGCTGTGGACAATATCGCCTCAGTGATAACGCAGAATTTGGTTTATAGAAACGAATAGTATGAATAGAGTAATATCCCCAGGTGACAAATGAGATCGTCGCAACGGGATATCCGTTCTGAAGACGATTAACATTGAGTTAAAAGTGTGAAGGACCCATCAGCCTGTTTATGAAGGTGTTATTCACTGCCTGTCGATCATCCCCCTATGGTATCCGCCTACTGTTAAGCGGGGAATTAAGAAAAACCGCCCCTGGCATGCGCGATACCGATTTTTTTTTTCGATCCAAGGGCTTTCGACGGTTTTTAATGTCCGCCAGTTATCAGTAGTTCACGCTTTTCGAAGGGATCACGTTGTGGGAAGATGTCTAGGGTTGTGACTTGGGAGCAAGAGGCACCCCTGGATCTCAGTTTCCGGGGGACCAGGGAATTACGAATCGGAGAAAAAAAATTAACTTGTATCGCGTGCGGAAAGTATTTTGATCGACCTTCTTTGCTGAAGAGACACATGCGGACGCATACAGGTATGTAATACACAAAAAGAAAAAGGAATAAAAAATGTATCGGTATTTACAAAAAATAAGGCTAGTCTATTCAGACATCATTTCAAGTACTACCGTTACTTGACGTAAGCAATGGCGAAAAATAGATGAAGAGAATATATTAAACAAGTGCATCGACGGTGAAAAATGCTCTGAAAATATATTTGAGGAGATTAAACAATAATTTTATATATTATATACTTCTGTTTATTTATTTATAAATTCTTTAAAAAATAAATAAATTATGAATGTTCGAACGATCTATGCATGTGGTCTTTTTTTAAATTTCATTGATTAATTAAAAAAAAAAATATTCATAGAATTCGAATATTTATTCATTTACGTACAATATATATCTTTATATATATTATATAGTTGTATAAAAATATATTACTATTGTATTTTTCAAATTTTTTATTACTCTTCAATTCTTTGATTGTCCTTTGATATTTACCAGGCGAAAAGCCTCATGGATGTTCATTTTGTGGGAAAATGTTCAGCACAAGCAGTTCCCTGAACACTCACGTGCGAATTCACACTGGTGAACGCCCACACGAGTGCTCCATCTGCGGAAAACGGTTCACAGCCTCTTCTAATCTCTACTACCACCGAATGACCCATAACAAGGTGACTATATAGATGATTACCTCTTGTGAAACACAAGACCAGTCGAGAGCTTAATAAAATTAATCGTCAGGAGAAGCCACATAAATGCAACCACTGTGAGAGGTCGTTCCCGACTCCTGGAGATCTGCGAGCACACAGTTACTCTCACACTGGCAACTGGCCATTGAAATGTCCAGTCTGCGCGCGAGGTTTTTGCAAACCTGGGGCTTTCTATCATCACCTGGAAGCGCACAGTGGTAAATAATCACTTATCACTCACCCCGAAAATAGATCTGTAAATTCAATATTTGTTTTTTGAAGAAATAACAATTTAACAGTGGGTACGTCAATAGACTCAGCATTTGCTGTTGAGGGTGCTCCAAAATACACCTGCAAGCTTTGCCTGGAGCACTTTTCATCGATGGGGGATCTCCACACCCACGAGAGATCCCATTCTCTCATCAATTCCACAAAAAATCTTCTACCATGGAATTTATGGTTTAAATGAAAATGAAAAAATGTTTTCAACACTGGATTAGGTGAGAAGTGCAATAAAAACGATAGCCAATTGATTTGTTTAACGATTTAAATTTATAGAAAAAGAGACAGAGATTTATAAAAGATGGAATAACGCAAAATTATTTTATTTATTTCTCAACTATCTAACTAGTTCTTATCAGAATCAGCGTGGGTATCAGCTGGCTCAGCTACTGTTTCTTCAACAATCTCCATCTTGTCGTTTGCTTCATCAGCAACACTCTCGTCTCCGTTAGCTTCCTCCTCAGAGGGGGGTTTAACCTCCTCGTCACCGTTCAGCTTCGCCTTCTCCTCTGCCTCCAGCTGCTTGTCCTTCTCGTCCTGTGCATGATGAGCAGCTGATTGGGCAGCCTGAGTATCGGCTGCGGTATCGTGCTTCAGAATTTCACGAAGGGCCATTGTGGCGTACGTCGATGAACTCAGAGTCATCTCCAGGATTAATGCTTTGTATTTTCCCTCTGTACATTCAATAAAAAGGAATTGCATGTTATGAATCCATGCAAATCACTTCAATGAGCTTTAGCCAAATCTTCCCGAAAAACGAAGTTTTATGATTTGAAAACAATATATATAATATATATATAATATAATAGTCGAGTACTCATTTACCTGGAACATCCTTGGGCAGCTCGTGATGCCTCATCTTATCAATATCAGCCAGCACGAGGTCAGCCTGAATATCATTGTAATGGACTATCCTCCAGGACACATTTTCTGGAAGCTGTAGGACCTTCCTATACTGTCCCCCAAGTGAATATTTCCTTAAAAAAAAAAAAGAAAAATCGGGAACCTTAAAAAATTCCCCCCAGTAACTGACCTATTAAAATAAACAAAAAGTCTCCACTCACTGATTTTTCTGTCGAAGGTCTGTCGTCAGTCCATCCTTAGCCAAAAACTCTTCGTACCACTCCTTAGCATATGAAGGATAAGTTACACGCCAGCCTGGCTGTGGCATGACAATATCAGCAAGAGTATAGCTGTCGAGATCCTCCTCAGTGAGCATCTTGACAGGTGGCACAGGATAATAGTCCTTCTCGATGGGCTCGTCCTCCGACTTCTCTGCTTTTTTCTCAACCACCTCCATCTTCTCAACATTAGGCTCGTTCTGGACAGCCCCTGCAGGTCCATCCTCTGGTGCCTCAACCGGTTCGGTAGACTCAGCTTCTTTCCGAATCTTGTCCTTCTCCTTCTCTTCTCCCTGCTCAGCAGAATCCTCTCCAGTCTCAGCGACCTCGGTGCTGTCAGCAGTGTCTCTTTTCTCATAGACAAGATCCCCAACAATAGGTTTATTTCCAAGTTCCTTGAGCCTTTTGGACACGAGGTGATTCCACACGAAACTCTGATAAGCGTGAATGTACATCGTCCTGACGTTTCTGGGGAGTGCATCGAGGGCCCCATGGGGATTTGTTGGCCCAGAGTTAACGATTCCCTTCAACAATTTAGCCTCGATCTTGTCCTGCCTCTGGATCTTGCTCAAAGCTGCTTTGGCATCCTTCGTTTTGGCGTAGATCTCCCTCGCCTCTGCCATATCTGGAAACTCTCCACTCCTTGGCTGCAGAATTAAATCAATGGCTGTGTTCCACTCACCCTGCAGCAGTGCCTTTCCAATCTTATGGGTGGGAACTGTGGCTACTGTTCCAAAACGCTGGAGCCCATAGTAATTCACGAATCCATTATCTCGTAGGCTCGTCAAGGCTGTATCGATTTCCGCGTCAGTAGCAGTCACGTTCCTCAAGGCAATTGTGAAGTGGTTGCCCTTCAGCTGTCCCAGTCTCAGGGGCTCCTCTGCAAATTTGAAGTTTCCTACAAAGGCCCCACGCACTCGTTTTCCAGCCTCCAGGATGCTCGAGGGATGCACTCGCCTCAGGCAGATCCACTGTGTTGTTCTCGCTCGACGATCCTTCGTTCCCGCATAGGTGAATGAGTTGGGCTTCAATCGCAGGTGCATCCCCAAGAGATTCAGGGCGTCCATCGTGTCCATGTTCACTTTGTGCAGGACGAAATGACAGAAATTCCCTGGGTACGACCACTCCGGACGATCGAATTTGTAGAACTTGTCTTTTGGGAGAGAAGTTATTTGTCTGATTAATGAGAGAATTTTATGAATTTTTTTATTTAGGGCTATTTAAAAATTCGAAAATAAATAAAGTGACCTCAAATTAATTGAATTGAATTTTCTCATTTCCTCACCAGTTTTCTTGCTATGAGCAAGCACCAGAAGTTTCTTCTCGTTCTTTTCGATGGTCTGACTGACGATCGAAGGAATCGTCTTCCCAATACTATGCAACATCTTCCGCTGTTCCTTATCCATGTCAGTGACATCGATCTCTACGGATTTAATGTTAGCATCAGCCTTGGAGAGCGACTCGATCTTGGCGAGTGTGTCCTGAGGTAGGTTCTTTTTCAATTCATTCATATCCAGGGTATTCTCAGGCGGGGCTGGAATTTCCTGGCTGGTCAGTTGGGAACGCTCCCCATCGTTGTTGATCTCGTGTACATGGAAATCATTGAATCGTTCCTTGACTATTCCGTTGATACGCTCGTGGGTTCCCACGAACTCAGTGACACCGATATCCACTTCTTTCAAGCGTTGTGTCACCTCGAATTTTGTACGCTTCTGGTTGTGGTAGTGCTGCATCCCCGGGCGTTTGTGGAAGGGTTTGTCATGATAACCTCCACGATGTCCACCTCAAGAGAACATAACAGCTGTTACTTTATTTTTACGTTAATGCTTATAGATTTATTTTCAATAACTCCATAGACGAAGGGTTTTTGAGGCAGACCTCACACCCTGGACGAACTGCTGACCAGAGACGCTCTTTAACGAACTTTCGAACAAACAACATCGGACATTAACAACCTAGCTGACATTATCTCGAATTCTTTAACTAAAGTTTAATTGTTGAAAATAACTGAAAGATTGAGTCGTCAAATAAAATTGGAAAATTTATTGGTGGGGATATTAATTTTCCTACATAAAATTCTCATAATTACATATCAAACGAAATCAAAATATTCTTAAGTACGAAGAAAAATAGATCCTCAGGTTACAGAATTAAATTCATGAAAACACGTATTCCATCAACAGAACGCCAGACTTCCCAGAAATTTTCATGACATCATCATCAAATCAATCGACATTTCCACAAGTAAATAAGATCGTATTTTCCATCCTAAACAAACCCTTACATTCTCAATTTCAGGAAGAAAATCAAAAACATTATTAATCAAATTTTTTTAATCCTCGTAAACAATCAAATCCAAATCTATCCTCTAAAAAATTCCAGAAAAATTTCCAGCGTCCAAAAATCGTAAAAACCCAAATAAACTCCAATTGAGACAGGAAAATTCCAAAATGCAATGCTCTCTTTTACTCGGTATAACTAAAAATGTCTCTAGACTTTGAGGCATAAATAGGTGTTACTACATGAAAATCCCTCGTCTTTTCATTATAAAATTTTCCAGAATCTATCAAAAACAGGATAAAATCCACCCCACAAGAATAAAATCCAATAACAATAAATTTTAAAAAATCAATTGAACCATTATTCGTTGATATTCACCTTGTCTGTAGCCTCCCCTGCCTCTGCCACCACCTCTGTGAAAATTTCTCCTCTTCCGTCGTGAGCTGTTCTCATTCTCAGCCATGGCCAAATTAACAATTGTCAACAACCGCAACAATTTCCCTAACAATTGAAAAATCTCCTGTACCAATTATTAATCGTCACCTGTTGTCCTGGAAGAGGCACCTCAGCAACTGTTGGAATGAGCAGACAAACGTTTTCTGAGGTTATGTCTACCGGCGTCCAACTCCCAACGGCATGTGTCGACAAAAAAATTCCAATGAATAGACCTTCGAAAATTGAACACAAAGGACTCTGTTTACATTTTCACACCGGGTAAGGAATTTTATTGATCGAATCCAATATTCAGACTCGAATTTTCGATGAGATTTCTCCTTTATTTTTATTTTCTTATATCAGGTATAATGCTTGCACACTATATCACACTGGTAACAGCCGGAATACAATAACTCGATAACGCACGTCTAATAATGGAATTCTGGTATTTTATTTAGAGATGGATGAGGGAGAAAATTTCACTCGTTCAAATTCTATGGAAAAACTTTCATATTTAATGTGCCATTCTGTGAGAAAATTCAAGACAACCTACCTTTTTTTTCCTTCAATTCCTTTTTTTTTAACGAACTTTGCAATAGAATTAATACAAAAATTAATAGAATTTTTTATATGCTGTTCAATTTTAATCGAATCCCACTGGAATTTCTAGCGAAAGGGCTAGACATTTAGAAAAAAAATAGGTTGAAATGAGTTCAATTTCCTTCATATATTTTCTAAGTATAATTTTACTATTCAATATTTTCTGCAGTAGTTCCGCGAATTTCTGTTTGAGTGTGGTTTTCAAATCGAAGAAGAGAACCAATTCCATGGTTAAGAATGTATACAGAAAATATTTCGGTAAATTGAATCATACCGAATAGTAGATTCATGTCATTTTTCCATGAAATTTTTTCGAGTGTGGCAAGTTGATTATTCTATTCATTTCAGTGGTTCGAACGAATTTCGCTGGTGATCGTCCTTGGTCCCGAACACAGCGTCCGTATTTCTAGTTGGTTTATTTATTTATAAAAAATATAATCGGCAAATCGCTGGACTTGACTCGTAGTAGTCTTAATCGATCACAGGATACTGCAGGTTTTCGACTGAAAATAATTAATATTCGTGATTTCTGGTGTTCATAGGAGACAAATAGAGGCAATTTTCAAATTTACTTTAGCTTTCGTATGTTGCGGGCTGCTTAATTTATTCCCATTCTCCACTTCTTGTCGCCTAAGGTGGAATAATTTCGATATTTTTCCTGAAAAAGGAACATCTGGTTCAATATCAATCCATCTGGATTTATCGGGTGAATTCCTAAGTTTTTCAATTTACAGGAAATTCTAGTCTTGTTTCAAATAAATCGTCCCTGCCAAAAAGCTTTTTTTTCTATCAGTGCAAGCCACCCCTCAAATATTCTTCGTATCAGCAAAATCGAGATTACCTCCTCGAGAAACAGGTGATTGCACGACGTCTGCGTCGTCGGTGGCAATCCCAATCTTCTCCTCAATAGCAACGACAGTCTCCAGAGCTTTTGCCTCCACCATGTCCACCTTATCCGCCACCTCATTCCCTATTTTCTCGATGGTGCTCTGGATAGTCTCCTCCATGGGTACAGTTTCGTTGGATTCGGCCTTCGATTTCCCGGATTGACTATTTTCACTGCTCGCTGATTTCTTTCTGGACGCCGTCTCGTTCTCCTCTACTGAGAGAAAGAACCCGGAAAAATGATAATGAAGAGAGGAAAGTGATTTCTTTTCCACAATCGATTCCACAATCATCAACCAATTGTTAATATCGTATATATCTATATTATAAATGATATTAGAATGACACACATAATCCTCATAAATTAGTAGTGAAAAAATGAAAGGAAAAATATCACCCCCAGGGGTCTGATGATAACTTTTCTAAGGGGAAATTAACTTCCTCCAAAATAAAATTTTTGCATCCACCAATTTTTGAATAATGAGATTTACCACGAGAATTCCTTTCGGCGTTGTTCTCTTTTTTTTCCTCTTCTTCCAGCTCGGCACCTCCCAAGCTCGATACTTTCCCCGAGCTCTTTCTCGACATGTCCCCGGAGGATCCACTCCCTGCGCTTCCGGTCTTCTGCCGCGGGGGCTTCGGCGGCGGAACCGGAAGTGGCGGAGACTCTGGTTCTTCTTTTTTCATTTCTGCACCGTTCTGACTTTCCTCACTGATTTTTTCGCCGTCATCCTTCGCCTCGTCGCCATCGCCCTCGATCGTTTTATCCTCGACTCGACTGACCCGCGACACGGAAGACTTCGGCCTCTTGACTCCCTCGGGTTTCTCCATGCCCTTTGAGCTGTCCTCTGGACTGTTCCTTTCTTCAGAAAATTCAGGTTCGACTGTAGTTTGATTTTTTTCGTTACTCATCTCGTCTTCTTTGACTTTTATCTCCTCAGACTCGCCGTAATCCACCGATTTCTTAGGGGACTCCGGCTTGTCCACGTCGTTCTCTGGGGGATCAGCCACCCCAACATTGTCGTGCTCGTTTTTCTCTGGTGTTGATTCGGTCTCGTTATCGTTCTCCTCGTTGCTACCGATGTTAGGGCCATCAGGCTTCGCTATGGGACTTTCGTTTTGAATCCGCGATGTCGGGACTTTCAGTGGAGGTAGAGCATTAATTTTCTGTGAATAACGAAACAATTCCAAATAAAAGTATATTGCGAGAATATTTCAAGTACTTGACAATTTTGCACCCGTGGGGGAGCCCGGGGACATGCTCAAACCTTCGCGTGGCGGGGAATTTTGTGCTCAGGACTTACACTGCTTGTAAACACAAACAAAATCAGGGCGATTCTATGCGTGTGGTGATTACATTCTACGTAAAAATGAATGTACCTCACCATTTGCTTGGATTCATCATCCCCGTTTTCAGTTTCTCTCCTTCGTCCCACCAAGATCGTATGGCACCCGCCGCATGCAACCTGTTAATACCAACGAATAAAAAAACTCCACCATAAAGCGCCGAATCGATTTATACTATCTTCACATACGATCAAATGAACGTGAAAATTACATTTGTGACAAAGAGCTCCTGATACTTGATAGCATATGTCAACTCGTGCACGTTGTTCTCGTTCTCCTCGAGACCCAGTTTCCCATGTCTACCATCGCCGCACGTAAAAATTTTGCCAGAGCCTTTGGAAAAACCATAATCATGATGCATTACATGCGAGCTTTATTAATGACTCCTGGGAGTTGAGAAATCGAGCGGCATTTGTGACTCTCACCTGTGAGAACAGCAATGTGACTCTCACCGCAAACAACTTTTACGATTTTCTCGTCCTCTAGTGCACCAGCTTCCAGCGGCTTCGGGGTCTGAATTTCGGTTACACTCGTGCCCATTCCTAATTGACCACTGGCATTGCTTCCAGTGCAGTAGATTTTGCCGTCGTCTAATTGCAAACCATAATTTTTTTGAATTCTAGTGTCTTGACTACTACATCGTTAAAAATTTTGAGAATTTTCAGACACTCGAAAATTTTTTAAAGGTCTAATTAACTTTGAGATTAAATGATCCATGAAAGTTTACTGTATGTATGAAAATGAAGCACTCAATTCAGTTTAATTTTAAACAAATTCAATCTTCAGGAAACCAATTTTCAGAATGTTCAATAGTTTTCATTGCCATTAAGTTTATGGACTGGGAAATTAGAATTTTGTTGAATATTCAAAGCGTTCCGGTTTTCTCACCAACATTCTACAGATAAATTTCATGTAAATTCTTTGCTAAACATTTCCACTTATTTTACTTGATATCCCAAGAGTAATTTTCCATGAATGCGAATTATACAAAATTTTCACGAATATCGCTTAATTTTCCGCGAATAATACCGGGAATTTACAGTTTCTATTGATTTTTCGGTGACATTTTAAATTCTGAAATTCGACGAAATTCCCTGCACTACAAGGCGAGTCCGATGTAATAAAAATTTCCACGAATTCTACTATGCAAAAATTTGATCCAAACACGTACGTTCCCTAAAAAAATTTTATAAGAATTCCACTAAAAAATTTTATTACACGGTTTTACTATTTTCCCTTCTGAAACTCGTCATGACCTGAATATATCAATAAATTTGCTGATTTCGAGAATTATTTCGTGACATGAAGTCGTTTGTTTCTCCAGCGCAACTTATTGAAGAAGTTTTCTTATATGAAGGTGTTTTATTACCTCCAAAAACGAGGGTGTGATGTCCCCCACAGGCGACGTGAGCAGCTTTCACGGATAACGACATCTGCTTGGGGGCCAACTGCGTCCTAAAGTCCAGGACAATTCCCAGTTTTCCACTCTCCGCTTCACCACAGACATAAACTGCTCCACTCTCTGCAAAAATCTTGAGTTTATGATTCAAATCAGATCAATCTGCAGCGATTCAGATACTGCGAATTATAAATCAAGAATGGTTAAAATCATAATATAAAAATAATAATTATTGACGCAAGTTCCCTCTCATTCGATCATTTGAGCTCTCCAGGAATTGTCTCTCCATCTGGCTCTTGGGTTTCCTCAAGATTTTTCGTTCGAAAATATATGAATCTGAATTGAACCCACTGACCTGTAAGAAAGGCCGAGTGATAGTAACCGGCGCTGATTTGCTTGACTGGCTCCGGTATATGGAGCCTGGTAGGTGTATTAATGAGACCGGAAACGCCATGTAGCCCCAGCTGTCCCTCCAAATTGCTACCCCAGGCGAGAACTCCACCGTCGCTGGTCAATACGAGAGAGTGCTGGGATCCAGCAGCAATTTGCACCACCCTGGGTCCAGCAAGACCACAGTCGTAAATCATAATTGGTGAGCTCGAGCTATCTCCCACAGTCTGTTGACCTCTTCCCAATTGAGACTCCTGGTCGCTTCCGCATGCAAATATCTTCTGTCCGTCTGGAGTAGATGAATTAATTATTCGCACACCATTCGTGTTAATTTACTCAATTTCGATGATTCCATCCACTCAGCGAAGAAAATGAGCGAAGAAAACACTTGACTAGAGCATACTCTATTATTCATTTAAATATCAAATTTATACGGGATTCAAGTATACTTCTTTTTCCAAGGAATTACCTTCGTCTTAGGATAAATTATTGTTCAATGATTAATTATTAACTTGGGAATAATTTATTGAGTTATTGAGAAATTCTATGGAACCAATAAATGTTAAGGAAATTCAGAGAAATGTTAAAATCAGTTTGAAAAAATTGGGATCATCGTCCGATTTCAGGGAGCCCTAAAGTCAGAAATACACTCAGAAATTTTGAAAAATAGAATTCGTAGAAATTCTTGAAAACGAGTAATCGTTTCTATGTGTACAAAACGTAAATTGCTAGAGTGATGAGACCCGCAGTTAATTGAATCGCCTTATCACTCATGTTTGGAGATTGCGTGTGTTCAAGTGAAGCAACGGCTACCTTGGTAAACGTCAGAGAATTAAATAGTCGATTTTTCCCCAGCCCTCCTTATCACCTCAGATTACGCAACTGAGCAACGGTTGATGACATAATCTCAAGTGTCTCACCTGTACATATTAATGTATGAGCCCTCCCGCATGCGACGTGTGATACTTTCTCTGGTTTGAGACCTGCAAAAACCCCAACCATCATGCATTAGACTTCCCATTTCCACCAGATAACACATTCCCAAAAAACAAGAGGTCGGCAACTTTGATAATCAAGTGGAAATATATAAAAAATCGACAATTAGTCGATTTCTAGTGTAATTCACTGAATTAAGAAACATAATGAAGGAATCTCTTTATCAAACGAAATTAAAGCGATGATTGAGCCACTGAATATTTCAGTTGCACACCCCTTGACAAGAATGGACAATTTCTGGAAGGAAATTGCCCCCGAACCATCTCGATTACCAACTTTTCACGCACGAAGGCTTGCTGACGTGATTTTTGTGGCCGAGACCCAGTTGACCCCAATCATTGCTCCCGAAGACGAATAACCTTCCACTCTCTTGGATATATGAAACAAAAAATAAGAAAATCAGCGCCTTTTAATTTGGCTCGAGTTTATCCCCACGCCCATCACCGATATAATGGTTACTGTCCCAGAGTCAAATAAAGCCTTTACGACTCTCCACAAATTGCAAAGTAAGAGACCAAGGGTTCGAAGGAGTTCATTCTGCCATCCCCTGGCGTGTGTATCACATCGATTTTCGCTGGGACAGAGTGGCTATCCTTTGTGTCCAGGCTGAGGCTTTCTGGAGGGCTATCATGAGTGAAACTAGCTGCAGCTGCTGTAAATCATTTGATGGCTCGATCCTCGGAGGTCAAACCATTCTCCTTCACCCCTCGCCTCTTATCGTAAAGTTTGCCATCAAAATATTTGCCGACGGGGGTGTATTCCGAGGTGCGCAAGTCATTAAGGATCTTTAAGTTGTTTTTTCAACTTTTAATCGAGTTTGGGTGGAAATATTTGTAGAAAACTTATAGATTAATCAATCAATTAAGCAAACGTTTTTTTAATAGATATTTATATGATTTTTGATTATGATTCCTTTCTATAGAATTTAGAAAGTGGAAAAATAATACCAGAATAATGTTTCCAATGAGAGATAATTGGTATGACGCCGATGATTAAAATAGGATCATTAAGAATTTCGGAATCCACCGAATTTAAATAGACAAATTATTCAACTATAATAGTAAAGAAGTCCTGAATAATCCACTCATAAAACCCAGCGAGTTTTTTCCTTCTTCTTTCATAGTACACAATGCTCTATTGATCCAATTCCAGACGTAATATGTGATGTTGTGGCGAAAAATGTAGGTAACACGTGCGAGAAGGGCTCAAAGGATAGCCATACGTCCGGTTATTGATTATATGATAAATCATTCACCGAGTGGAGTACGAATCGATACGTTACACTCTCCATCCTCCCTCGTTGCTCAAATGTGAATTTCGATGATGAAATTATGAAAATTATGAAAATTATGAAAATCAGACTGTGATGGAATACTCACGGCACACAACGGCCGAGTGCTCGTCCCCGCAGGCTATGCTGATCACCGGATCCTTTCGGATAAAAAAATGCGAGGCTACGTTATCCGCGAAACGACTACGACCTAGTGTAAACACCGCACCTGTGTCTGCAATAAAAATGAATGTTTTTAGTGGTCTTTGTACATATGAGTTGCAGGTTATCATTATTGATGGCGTTTTACAGAGGTGGAAGGATCACATGTGATGCACCTGGGGCGGACATTCACGTGGGTGAGGGCCGAAGTGTCATTGGCCTATGTCCGCTTCATCGATTCAACAGGGTAAACTCGGAGAAAAAAAAAACGATCTTTTGATACAGTGAAAAAGTTTCGCGATTGTAGATACAGTTTATTAGCGGTGAGAAGAAAAATTTCATTTGTGAAAAAGTTTTCTATCGCCAGGAAAAAGCTTTCTCACAATGGTTATAAAATTTGTGGAATCAAGAACTGACTTTTTTTTTTATTGAGAATCAATTTTCTAGAATCAATGAACGGATTTGTTGAATTGAGATACTCTCCTGCTTCAATGTAAAAACTTTTTTAGAAACGCATTCAATTGAACAACTTAGCGAATTCGCTCGGAAATTATACTGGATCTCGATTCAACTTTCTATTACTCTAAAGGAACTTAATAAAATATGATTTTTCTATAATTTGTTGTATTTAGATATTTTATTTAAACCTTCGCTCAATTTTTTTTACATTCTGTTCAGTCTATTTTTTACTTTTTCCTACTAAGAAATTTAAAAAAATAGAAACTTTGAGTATATAAATAAAAATAGAGTTCGCCGAGTTTTTCTATTAAATTTGTCCATTCGTAGTGAAAACACATTCTTCGTCAGAGGATTTAATTATTTTAAAAGGGATAAAACAATGTTCCCTATACTAAAGACATCTTCATCGTCAAAAGTAATTGTTTCTTTGAGCACAAATATTAGTATCAATACTGAGTACACGACTGCGATCGGAGATACCAGTGTTCTAAATGATCATCAAATGTGCCTTAAAAAATCACCAATGCCCATTAATTCTCCACTCCCTTATCTTCCAGTGGTCGCATGCATCACGAACCAAAGAGTAAAATTTTGCTCAACCACAGCTGCTCACCTAATTAATTCCCTCCACCCTTGACCTTGGCAAAAAAAAATCGAAATGAGAAGAGAAATATTACCACAAGATCTAATCTCCAAATCTTTTTTGAGTTTGATGGGAGTCTGGGAGTAAACCGGCTACTTTATGATTTTTTATGGTTTAAGGAGCACCGACCAGGTCAGCCCGGTGTTTTTATTATCGTTTCGTGATCTCGACTCGTTGGTCGACACGAAACGCCCACGAAATGTCGGGCAGTAGAAGGAAAAAATAATGAGAAAAATATTGGACGATGGGGTTAACGCTGACTCTGGGTCAAATTGAATCTGCGGATTGACTCGCTCATAATGATTATTAAAAAATCGTTAAAAAATATTTCTTCGTATCCTCAACATACGCGCAGAAAAATCAATTACTTGGCAGTGCCTGACCCTTATCAGCAACTATTGTTTTTGCATACATTCATTTCGTTCAATCTATTTACAAAAATGAAATTAAAAAAATATCAAGGATGTTGGAGAAAATTGAGACAATACCTAATGACCTAATTATGAATTAATCAAAACAACTCATTATTCTTGATTTACAGTAATAATGAAGGGCGAGACGAAATTTATTTTGGTATTTCCTCAGAAATGACCGTTTTATTTTTTTAATTAGGAATGTTTTGTAGAAGTTTTTGGAGATAAATTGTGATATCGAGTGAGAGTGAGGGGGAATTCGAGCATAAATTTTAGTGTTAAAAGTTGAGGAATAAAAAGGGTGAAGTGCGTGAGGAGTTAGAAGTACGAGCCAAGGTCCTCTAAAATGTAAATCACCATATCGTCTGAGGAGGGAGGATGCCCATGAATCAACTCCCAGGGTATTTTGAGGTCTAGCCAGGCGAGGGTTAGACGAGGGGATGGAGGGGCCACCTCTTCATACAAAAGGTCATACTAATGTAATTTAAACGAGTGTATTTGCAGATATACAGAAACCCCTCGAGGATTTACGCTGCGTTCTTATCAAAAGTTCAAACGTTGAGCGCTTTGCATTATTCATCGGCCATTCATTCTTGAAAATGTCGGTGACACGTTCACAGAGAGTGAAAGTACCTGGTCAACATTTTCCCAACGTTATTCGTGATTAAAGTCAGTTGAGTAAAAATAGAACTTATTAAGAATATTCATTCTCAATTCCGAATATGAAGAAAATTTCATTTGAAAGACTTTAAATGTCCCGGAGATTTTTTAATTCGCCCCATGTTTTTTTATCTACAAAACGAATTAATATATTCTAATGAAACATTCATAAAACCCAGATAAACTGCTAAAGTGTTCTATGGACGATTTATGATTTCCTTCTGCTTTCCCGAAAAAATTCGATTGAATTTCCGTTTGAACGTTTTTTGGTGATTTTGGTTCTACGCTTTCTCTAGCATTTTTTATTAGAATTCCGAAACATTCTGCTGTTAAAAAAACATAATAGAGTTTTTCTGGAACGCAAATCGGAAAAAAATGATTTATTGGGGATCGGTGGCTACTGTCAGCTTTTCCGATTTTTTTGGGGTGTGTAAATTTTACTGGAGAGTAAATCATCGATATTGTAATCTGCGTGATTGGGGTATTTCGGAACTCTTCTACAGCCAGGAATACATTAACTCTTGCCGTAGGTCGTCGAACTCCCGGTGCAAGCGGATCCCAGATCGATCCGCACGAAAAAATACCATTCATGAAAAAGTTTGCATGGGAGAGTCGGAGACTGAATATTATTGCAGCTCTTGTTTTTTATTTTTATCACATTCAAGTTTCGGCGGAATTTCAAGGAATCGTCCTTAAAAAGTGAAAATTTCCGGTGAAAAACTACAGCTACTGTAAATGTCCGGCAATTATTACCGGAAAACGGAAAAAAATGAGTAAAATGCCAACAAATATCTATAGTTCAATCCCAGGAAATCGTAAAAGTCAACAAAATACGTTTAAACAAAAGTTAGTGTTCCGTTATTTTTATGGAATTCCGATTTTTTACACTTACGTCGGTCTATTATTGAGCCATAGACACCAACTGGTCCTAAATATTTACTATTCGATTCAAACGTCCAGTGAGTAATTAAATTTTGCTCTTACTCTCAAAAAAAAAAATCACCAAAAAAATGAAAAATAAAAGAGTAAGTGCAAACACTCTAATATTTATTTCCTTTCCTTCATGTTTTAATAATTCCCCTGAATTTTATGAATGTTTCTCTCGAAAATGGAAAAATGCTTATGAAACGTCGATTATTGACGAACAGAATAAAAAAAAAAAAAAACCAAGCATTGTGTATTTTTTCTCCCCCTTCGACCAGGAATAAATAACTTCCGCTACAAAGAACGCTCTAACTTCATTACAAAAATGTTCTCCACACTGAAGTGCTAAGGGCTGATACTTGATCGAATAATTCAGGGTATAAGAAAAATACAACAGTCACGTGTGATGCCATAACTACCCGGTTATTTGCAGAAGAGAGTGAATAATTCAGTGACAAGTGCGGGAATTCCAGTGATATGATTTTATCGAAATTTGAAAAATAATTTGCTTGCAGTGCGTTAAGGTGAATTTGATTGTTGTGATGGTGTTGTTACCCGGTATGTTGTCAATGTCGGGGAGGCCCATGTTTACACCCTTCTGAGCCCAAAGTCAGTCGACTAACTGCCGGCACTGTCACACCGTTGTAGTAACTTTGGAGTGGTAGTAACTTTGACCGGTTGACGTTGCCAAGCAACAATATAGTGGGTGGAAAGGTGGGGAAATCAATTCCAAAACGAATGGCTCGCCACTTTCGCTCACAACTGGACACGAACCCTCGCACCCCTGCCAATCACTTGAATTTTCACCAATTTCCATCGTCACTGTTCAAAGTATATTACGATGCAAGCGAAAACAGGTAGTTTTATGAAACAAGTAAAAACAGGGCGCTTTTCTGCACGCTCCGCGCGCAAATCACCCTCTTTGCACCCTCTTTTCTCGGCTTGTAACTCCCATATTTGAAAAATGCTTCAAAAATAGTCTATATACTATATATAGGTGAGTCCACGGAAAAATTTCGAGAATTCACTTTACGCACGTCGCACGGAAAATAACCACTTTATGCCCACGAAATGGTTCCGAAAAGTGAATTATAAAAGCAGGTATTTCAAAAAAATTCATTTTTCGAAATCGTTTAGTCCGCCTGAATAAGGGCCCGTTTTCCACACGACGTGCGTGAAGTTAAGAGGCGATACGTTAAACTTTGATTGGATTGGATTACCTAGTCATCTTCTATACAATTTTTTTTCCCACAAATTAAGGAAAAAAATTCCTAGTTCCTACTAAAAATTGACAGTATATTTTACTATAAATTTTCCTGCGTGCATGAATGTTTTGTTCCTGGCGATCGATAGTTCATGGATTTGTAGAGTAATGAGTTTGCTTGGAAAAATTAGGGGGTCGGGGGGTGAAAGGAAGTGGGGCGGTCTGTGTCAATTGGCGAATGACGGTGATAGGTTTGCTCGGGTGAAGGAATTATGGACTTGTCCTTGACTTTTTGGGGGTGTGGGGATGATTGAGGGGGTTGTTTTTAGTTTATCGCTTGTGCAGTTGCGACGGGTTTATGGGTGAATAATGATTAGTAGACTTGATATTAATAGTTAATTAAAAACGAAAATATTGACCACGAGATTGAACATGAAAACTTGAATAGGGCGATCAGCGTCGAGGAATTATTGATTTATAATCAATAATAAGGTATGACAGTTAAGAAACTTTCTGAGAATTTCCTTGCATTCAGTGTGATCAACTGATCAATTTTTTAATAATTATATTATTTTTAATAATTACCTCAGCTGAATTCTTGAAGGAAGTTCGGCTTTTTAGAGAGTCCTAGAAACGATCGAAATACGGATATTCATGATTTCCTGTTATCCTGGACTTCTGGTATTCTTACACCAAAAAAGACGTGATAATGACTATTACGTCACGAATGCACAAAATAATTGATAATTAATTAATTAATAATAAAGAAATAATCACCGCGATGTACTAACCCAATAATTTGAATGAATTTTTAATGTTAAGGAAATTTACGATTTTCGTAGGGTCCGAGAAACGACAAGCATGGATTTTTCCGCGTTGTTATATTATTCATTTCATAATATCATGTTAGACCCTACCATTTATCCTTAATTAGAGGATTATGTTTGGAATATAATAACAGTAGTGATGAATTAATAATTGTATTTGTATGGTGAAGTCAGGATTTGAATTCAAATTTGTACTCAATTACATTGAGTATCTGCATTATCAACCGAAAAGAGGACTGACTGAAGTAGAGACCCAGTTATGGGGGTTGGAGTGACCCCAGCGGCATCGTAGTACTGCACACCAAGAGAGGGAGGGCGCCATACGCAATACTGACATTTTAATTCACGCAATCAATTGATCCCTCTGACAGCGGGACTGCTACTGAGGGCCTGAGGCAGTTACCGAGTCGGCTGACGGGCTGACCCCCCACCATTCGGTGCGGCCCCTTCTTTCTCTTGGGGTGAGGTACTACAATGCTGGTGGGGTCACTCGAACCCCCAATGAGCGGCTTAGTTCTGGGGGAGTACCTCACCCCAAGAAAAAGAGGGGGCCGCACCCAATGGTGGGGGATCTGCCGGTCTGCCGACTCGGTAACTGCCTCAGTGCCCTCAGTAGCAGTCCCGCTGTCAGAGGGCCCAATTGAGCGGGTGAATTTTATTTTTTGAAAATTTTAGATTTTTCAATTTCAGTGAATATCTCCTCGATTTTCATGCTCCCCTGATACTTTTTTGAAAATTTAAAATTTTTCAATTGCAGTGAATGCCTCCTCAATTTCCATGCTCCCCTGATACTTTTTTGAAAATTTTGAATTTTCAAATTTCAGTGAATACCTCCTCAATTTTCATGTTCCCCTGATATTTTTTCAATAATTTCGAATTTTCACATTTCAGTGAATACTTTCTCAATTGTCATGCTCTCTTAATACTTTTTCAAAAATTTCGAAATTTGAAATTTTAGTGAATACCTCCTCGATTTCCATGCTTCCCTGATACTTTCATAAAAATTTAGAAATTTCAAATTTCAGTGAATACCTCCTCGATTTTCATGCTCCCCTGATATTTTTTTGAAAATTTTCAATTTTCAAATTTTAGTGAATACCTCCTCAATTTGCATGCTCCCCTGATACTTTTTTAAAAATTTCGAATTTTCACATTTCAGTGAATACTTTCTCAATTGTCATGCTCTCTTGATCCTTTTTCAAAAATTTCGAATTTTCAAATTTCAGTGAGTACCTCCCCGATTTTCATGACGGGATGACACCTCCATTGCGTGTGGCGCCCTCCCTCTCTTGGGATGCAGTACTACGATGCCGCTGGGGTCACTCAAACTCCGAGAACTGAGCCTCTACTTCAGTCAATCCTCTTTGATCAACCGAGAGAGTCGCCACTGCTCATGTGTTGTTTACTACACACTCGCGTTTGCATTTTGTCTGTCACTTCTCTCAACATTAGTTCGTTTTGTCCAGTATTCACCGTTTGATATTTTGCGAAACTGTGCAATAATGATGTACAGATAATTCCCTTCCTCTCCAGTGAGTGAAAAGACTAGAGTGTGATTAATTTTCGTGAGGACTCGGTGAATCGAGAGTTTCGAGGTTATGAACGTTAAAATTTCCATGCTGTCGATTTCTCATGAAATTTACAAAAGCCGTTTCGTAATTGAGGATAATTTCCTAAAAATATCCAGAAGTGAAGATTGTGATTAATTGTATAGTGAGTTGCTGTTAGTAATGAGCAATCAAATGTGAGTGGCATGAGTGTTAACAGTGAATCCGTGGAAATGAGTGAACGGAGTAATGACTCAGGGGAATTGGTAGTGAGTTCTGAGGGGAATTCCAGGAAAAATGTTCCATATGAATTGTCAGGGGGAAAATCTCAGGATGACGGCGAGGAGTTTGACACAGATGAGGAAGAGGAGTCCAAGCCCTCAAAATCAGGGGTTGAACCTTCCTCCAACGATTATGAGAAGCATTTATCGTACGAGGGTGATGTTTGTATTTATACTGAACCAGGAACTGGCAGAAAATTAGTTTGGGATAAAGAGAAAAATTCCTGGGAGCCCCAGGTGTCTGAGAACCCCATGGAGAACTATGAGTTCGATGGAAAAAATTATGTCTACACTGATAAGACATCTAATGTGACTTATAAATTCGATCAGGAGAGGAAGGAGTGGGTGGTAAAAGAGGACAGGGGCAGTGGTCCTGAAGTCGCTGCTCCTGGAGGAACTTATGGCTTTGAGGATGACACTCATACATATACTGACCCCAGTGATGGCTCTGTGTACATGTGGGATCGAGAAAAGAGCGCCTGGTTCCCTAAGGTAAGGAATATAATTTTTTGAAGATTATAATATTATATATATTCATTCATTTAGTACCGGAAAGTTGACAGGATGCTTCGTAAGTTTTCGAGGGATATCTTTGAAATTAAGAGAGGCCGCGAAATTTGTGTGAATACATTTTTTGTAGACAATTAAATTTTCGATTACGAACATCTTTACATATTTTCTAGTAATATCAAGAGTTTTCGAGATTAATTGAAACTTATCTCACTTCACTACTGAAGTGACGGTTTTGTTTGAAAATTTTTGGTTCTCCAGCTACATGCACTAAAATATTCCTTTGTAAACCTTTGAATTCAGACTAGATAATCTTCTTGAATATCTTAAAAGCCTGGAAGAATGGGTTTACACTGCACAATGGATTCATTGAAGGACCAACAAAATTCAGAAAAAGAATTCTAGAGGTCTTTCTTGGAAGAACGCAGGATGGGAAAAACTCCTTTGAAACTTTTATTTTTATAAATCCAGAAGTATGAAGAGTTGAGTAGGTTATTGGGACACATTCCAATGGCAGTTTTCCCTCTTCAATAGCTTCATTATGCACTAGAAAAGTGAAAGAAGCAATTGAAGGGGTGTTCAAATCGACTTGTTCTCTTATCGAGTTTACGAAGAATAGTTCTGAATCCGAGAGAGAAGCGGAATTTCTCTTGCGACAGTTTTTCTAGACTGAAATGAGTTACAACGAAATTCCCTGCAACAATTTAGCTATTTCTCTTAATATCGAGGAAATTCCCTGAAAAATTATTTTTCGTTTTGAAAAAATCCTTGAAAACTTTGTTATGGTTTTTTTTTAGATCGATGACGATTTCATGGCCAGGTATCAGATGAGTTACGGTTTCACAGACTCAAATGCCAGAGTCCCCTCACCCACAGCCCCAAAAGTCGATGAAAAAGCGAAAAAAGAAGCGGACAAGGAACTGAAAAAGGCAGAGGCGAAGAGAAAAGCCACAGAGCCACCGACTTGGTTCGAGGTGGATGAGGCACACAATACAGCAATCTACATATCTGGGTTACCCCTCGACATTACGATGGACGAATTGATTGAACTCGTCGGAAAATGCGGTCTCGTTGCCCGCGACGACAAGAATAGAGACAAAATCAAGATGTACAGGGACGCAGATGGAAATCCAAAGGGAGATGCATTGTGCACGTACATCAAGGTGAGTTTAATTTAATTTTTCATTCGTTTCTACAGGCGATAAACATTACATAGACATTGACATTAGGGTGGGTTTCAACGATATGTACAGGCGAAGCGTTTTTTTTTCTAAAGAATTTGCATAAGGACATTTTTCCATTTATCCACACCTCAAGGATATCCCATTGCTTTTTATAGCTTGGTACCAACAAATTTGTTAAGTAACCGGCGTTTGCGAAATTTTCTTTGGCTTGAGATTCATTTCTGGAGAAATTCTGAGTATTCACGAATTTACTATTATTTTGGAAATACGACTTATACGGGTAAACATTGAGTGTTTAAAAATCATACACCAATAGTTTGCGTAGTCTTGATGAATTGTAGAAGTAGAATTTTTCAATTTTTTTTTGGTCCTCTAAACATTTTTAGAAAGTTAAAAATTAAAAATTGAATTGAGATTCAGTTGGAAAAATTACCGAAATACTTGAATATCCTGAAAATATCTTTTACACTTTGGTCTGCACAAATTACCTAACTAAATCTCCTTAAGAGAATATTATTTCCGTTAAACCGTAGTTTCCCCGTTTTTCTTTGGTTTGGAATCGATTCCTGCGGGAAACCCGAATATCAACGGATTCATTACAATATTAAAAAAGTGAATTCTGAAAGAAGAATATTTGTTGGGTAAATTATTTATAAAAAGGCAGAAGTCATCCAGAATTGTAGAAGTGGATTCTTTTTTACATCTCTAAAATATTTTCAAACGAGTAGAAATCAAGAATTAACTTTGAAAGTTCAAATGTTTCAATAATATTATCACAAAATATTATTCGACGAAAGAAAAATGATGAAAGTACTTGGATATCCTCGAAATGGGTTAACCTTTCAAATATGACGCGAAACAGCATCAGTATGCTGACACTGTTCTCATACATTGAGAATTCTCGATATTCCACTGGGGCAACGAGCAATAAACCATTTTTACGGTACTCGATTATTCAACAGATCGAGATAGATGGATTCTCACCGAAAATTTATCTCTCCCCACATGTCCCCGAGAATTCATCATCGACGTTTTATCATTCCACTCCTCACACTCAAACCCTGCATTTTTCATACAACATCAATCTCCTTATTCCAGAGCTACAACCTGATTAAGAACTATTAACGATAATTACTCGTAAAATTAACGAAAAGTAGAATCTAGGCCTTGGATTCGGCAATACAAAAATACAGTTTAAGCTAGAGCTACCGTAACATGGCGCACTCAAGAGAAATTGTTACACTGAGGGAAAAATTAATTTTTCGCAAGTATATCACACTTGTAAGAAATTGCAAGTGTGATACTGAAGTGTTCATTGAACATTGTCAAATTTGAAATTCTTTGCACTGAGTACAAGAGGAGATAGAAGCGTTAAGTTCTCGATTCAAAAATTTGTTATTACACTCATGATCAGTATTCCTAAATGGAATAATGAGCTTGTTATTTTCATATCGGAAATATTTATTTTAATTCATGAGAATTTTTTGCAAATTGAAGGAGATTAACGAAAGAATTTGAATCTTATTTTTTTCTGATCCCACGACATTACGAGAAATACTACTTTTGGCAAAGAAAAAATTACTTGATACAAGAAATGGATGAAAAAAAATTGTCTCAGTGTAAATTGAATTAAGAGAGCAACGAGACAAAGATATCTGTTGATTTTAATCTCGGACATGGACTCGAACATGATCTAGAAAGGAAATAACGATGGAAGTTTTAAAGTGGACTCCCCAACGGTTCCTAGATGATACGTTCAAGTTTTCAGTAGCACCTCCTCCAGGGAGAGATCATTGATCTTAGCGTGATAGTGAGATAGTGTCTTGTCGTCAGACAGTGCCTTAGGTCGTCCACCATCTGGTCCATCCCCTAGGAAAGCCCCATACTCGTGTCCCTGTGGTGCTATTTGATTTATTTGGGGTGTCTTATCGCGCCCCCTGTTTCGATTATTTCGATGACGAGTTCGGTTTGTGTGTCGTATTTCCGGTGACGGCTTTGCACTAAAAAAAGAACAAAAATCATTGAATTAATCCTCGTCAATGACGTTCAATTAAAAAAGCCCGACGAGTCGAAAATAAAAATATCAACCAGCGATTTCATTTTTAATTGGCGAGAGCCATAAAATTCTCCGCATTTAATCAGTACTCACTCAGCTGGTGGCCTTGACCCGAGTTTAACCCCGTGTGCCCACTCCTGATTGTCAGTTACCACCCAATCCTTGTTCCACGCTGTTTCCAGTCGTCCCCTTCTCTGTGCCCTCAAGTCATTTTTCCCTTTCTTCCTCCTTTTCCCTTTTTTTCTCGGTCTCAGTCTTTGGTTCTGGGGCCCCAGCTCCGAGGGAACTGTCTTCTTCCTCCTACGTCCTGTAGAATTCATTATTTATTTATTTATTTATTTATCTGTTTGACGGGCATCGTCGATGCAGTCGAATAGATTCTCGTTACCTATTCGTCCAGCAGGGACTTCGCAAATGTAGTGCTTCTTCTCGAAACAACTTCTCGGTGTCCATCTGTACTTGACTGATGGATCGAGTACTATGCAGTGCCATTCGTACTGCGATGGATTTTTACTCAGGGCTCCAGCAAAATTCTGGAATATCACTTTCTCACCCTTTACACCCCATTGCCACGCCATTTGCTTCCAATTGTACATACCACCTATCCACCTCTCGAGTCTCGCTGTAACGTCACGGTGTATTAAGCTGAATTTATTAATAATTATTCTATCGATTATCATATTTTGGGGACAGATGGAATTCGAGTTCATTATGCAAATTGAGTATTTAATTTTTACTACTCTCATTTCGATTCGTCTACAGTGAAAAATTGAATATTCAACGTGCCAAATAATTTTTGAGGAAAAGGACCTATTTAAAATATAGATTCAAAAATGTAATTTATTTCGAGAGAAAAAAGTCCCTGAAATGAATAACCATGACAATTCACTGTCAAGTTTTTTTTTGAAATTCAGGAAAGTCTGGAATTGAGGGATCTTTCTGATATTCAATGATTTTCCATTACACAGAGGGTAATATTCAGTACAAATTATCAAGTGAAATATCGCTGAATTTTTTAGAGGGCGTTTCGTGATTTTTATATGTTTCTCGTGAAAAAATTCGATACCATTCGTCGAATTCTCAGTCACCTTTTTTCTTTATCTAATTTTCATGGAATAATTGACTTGAGATAAATAATTCCCACGATTTTTTCCATGACATTGCGAGTTTCCAACCAGAAAATTCTTATCACTTGTTTGAAATTGTAAGACCCTCACCGGAAAAATCAATGGAAAATTTCCAACACTGTACAAACTCCGGCATCTCTCAAGCTGTAATGCCGCATTAACCGTTAATCCCCTAGCACAACGGAAATTTGATGACAACAATTGTCAAGAAAAGAGTCCATATTTTTTACTCGGTACTAAACCTCTCCTCGTGAAGAGTGAATTTCTCCGTATCGAGCTATCCCAACACGACAACCTCGGTCGTAAAATCAAATAACGTTGAATTTCCATATTTATTTTGCAATTCACAAACAGTGAAATGTCATTTGGAGTTGGAAAAATCGTTGGAAAAATCGTTGGAAAAACTCGTCAAGGCGATTTCAAGTCCTCCAGTTCCGAGTTAATGAATTTTATGATGAAAGTTGGTTAAGAGTAATGGGATATTGCGGGAGAGTTCATGAGGAAGAGAATCACGAACTGGGAACACAAGGGCATTCGAGTCCAGAAATTCTGTCCCGATTCTTTTATCCGTTAAACAATGAAATCCACTTACTGAATTGTTCGCCGATGAGGTACTTCCTGAGGGTTCGATCCTTTCCATTCTTATCGAGTTCCGCCAATGTTGAGTTCCTGTCTTTACAGTGGAAGTAGGCATCCCTCCACTGGGCAACGCCAGCACTCAGATAATAACAATTTCTCTTGAGTCTGAAGAATCCAACGGGGCATGCAAATCTCCGTATCCCCTGGAATTCTTTTTCGTTGTTTCTGCCATTACCTGGGGGTAGATTTATGCTGTCTGTCTGGGCTTCCACTAGGATTCCGGCTGTGATGCCTTGAACAGATCAAACATCCTACAATAAACATCTAAAGCAGGAAGAAATGTTATTTCCTCAGGAAGGAAAATCCGAATATCTCGATAAGCTGTTGATTCACCAGGAAAAGACAGACTTTTTTGTCTAGTGAAGGGTAACAAGTCGAGTTTTTCAAGTTTATCTTTCAATCTAAAAGAGATAGCGAAATTTTTATTAAAACCTTTTCTGTGGCTCTCACTTTCCCCTACTAAAGAGGTGATAAGAACAATTTTGCTATCCCTCTTAGATTCGGAGATATTCGGCGATATCCGTTTGACATTTTTCGATAAATTCGAGATTTTTGCGAACATCTCTCTTCGATACATCCGACTTGATTCTCGAATGCGTAAATTCAATCGAATGGATTTGAATCATGATTATAGACCGGCGCCAGGCACTCGATACAGGCCAGTGCATTTTCGTATCACGACCTTGAAACATTTTTTGTTATTGCATTATGCAACTCATGCGTCATTGATTGATGCAAAGCGGAAGTTATGATGATTTAAATCTCTTTCGGAAATTTCCCGTCGTTTGGATTCGTAATAACAGACAGCTGGCCAATGAAGGCTTTGACAGATGAACTGATCCTCGAGTTACAACAAATCCTGTTGTCCACCCAAACCCTATTGACTGAGAAGTAATAACGAAACGTGACCCACATGTGTCACTGGAGCTTCCAATTGCTTTACATTTTGTCCACCTCTCTTTGTATCTCCCTTGCTTTCGCCATGTCGCGATTTACAATGGGTATTGGCTGAATTGCCAATAGTTTTATTTGTAACTCGTTTGTGTCGAGATGCAGCCGCGATTTTATCCTATTGGATTAAGAGATTACAAAAATTGAAATCTTTTTCTTTTTCATTCAATACTTCATTCAAATCCGACATTTAGAAAATTCAATTGAGATTATTCTCGTTCATTGCAGGCAACTAATTTCTGAAAATCTGTCCATAATGAAATAAAATAAAAATAAACCGTTTATCATAATAAAAATTCCTAATGTTAGAAACGAAATGTTGAGATTCAAGAAAGCATTCCTCTCGATTCGAGAATCTACTATTTTTTCTTACTATTTATTATTGTTTTTAAATGAAATAATTTTTAAGTGAACTGAATGAAATGGAGATGTCAATGTTCTCGGGACGTGGGACTGAAAATAATTAAGACAATGCAGCTCCAGTCAATCACTTTTGATCTGAGGTTACGATTGTTGAATGAAAACCCGACATTGTAGACTATTTAATCAATTACTAGAGTCGTTTAATCCTCGAGGAGATATGCTGGTGCATTCTCCAATTGTCCCAATGTATCATAAACTTCCTGATTTGAAAATGATCCAATTGCCAAATGACAGCAGTCACTTCGAGATTTGACGATAATTTTTATCCTCCATTTTTCGCGGAATGAGTAGATAAAAGTATGAAATATAGGGTATAACTTTGGATATGACTCCTGGCGTAAATCCAACGTGTTCCCACCCACTCCGACAATCTAACGAAAATATACGACTTATTTCGCACGCTCCCAGCAAAATGAGTCCCAGTAGTAAAGACTCGGGGGTTAATGGTTTCTGGTGTTTATCAGTGGCATGAAGCTCCTGTCTATCTCAAAACGATTATTTACGATTTCTAGACCGAGTGTATTTGTACTATCTGACAGTCTCAAATGTTCAATAGGTTTCGATAAACCGGTAAACAAAAACGCAAATAGAAATGCAGAAGATAAATTCACTCGAGATCCCGTTGAATTCACTAGAATTCCCTCGAAATGCATTCAATGCAAATTTTGGTGGGAGTTATGCTGATTGGCCCTGTTACACGTAATAGTCATGTATGTATGTATTCACTGGCCGTTTTGTCGTATTTCAATGGAGATTTTGGTGATGCGATTTTACCCAATGGATTATGTTGTGCGGATTTTTACTGAGAACAAATGCCAGAGTTTAATATTTCCATCTTCAATTTCGCGGAAATATCGTCGAAATATTTTGGGATTAGCATTTCGTTTCAAATTTTGGGAGATTTTAGGGCCGCGAATTTAGGAAAATTCAGGATAGTTTGGAAGAATTGCTTGTTTTAAATAATTCGATTTTAAGAATATTTAATATTTTTTTTATGATAAATTTTTAACCTAAATTATCCATTTATGGTGGGAACACACAAGGAATTTTCCTTTTAACTGATTCAATTCCCGATAAAAATGCTCCTTTACATTTATTCGTAAATTAACGGATAATTAAATTTGATTTATCTTAGTTTTCCCCATTCGCTAGTAAATTCGATTTATCGGTCGATCTAAAACGAAAATTTATGCAAATGAAAAAGCTTCAATTGTGCAGTTAATTGGCATTAATCAAGGACATTCAAATGCAACTGGAAGTAATCGATTAAATGAGTTTTAATTGTCGATTTTCTACGTGTTCCTGGTAAATTTGCATGTTTAAGAGTTTCTACTTCGGTTTGATTAATATCCGTGACAATTGTTCAAATGAACGTAATAATGATCAATGCACAATTATTGATAAAACTTTTGTGAAAAATCTGAAATTACTGTGTCTATCCAATCGTCCAGTGACTGCAGTAAACGAATGCAAATTGCATCACCAGCAATTGATGTAATTCGTTATGTTGGAATTTATTGTCAGATGAATCGCATTCATGAATGCATTGATTTTGCAGGTCACTGGAATAAATCCGAGAAATTCTTTCACCAATCAGTTGGAATTTAACCGCCTATTCAAATAAATTCCTATTAATTCTAACTTCTCATGATTGAGCGCCCAATCACCATAAACTCATCCTTTTCACTGAGAAAACTGGTACTTTGTTTAACGCCTATTAATTTTTCATTAACGAAACAAGTTTTCTGGAGATGGCATTAATAAATCGTGCCACCCACTTCATTCGCCTATCTTTTACAACGGTCTCTACGCCGAGAGAGAAAAAAAACTTTTTTTAACGAAGAAGACACAGGAGATGCAAGAGAATATTCCCTTTTAAATTTGAAAAATCGTGAAGTCTGATAAATCAGTTTGCTCTCTTAGAGAAAAAGTCTCCCAACAGGAAGAGATTCCCTCGTCTCCAGCGAGTTTTTAAGTCTTATGATAAATTTTTCAATAAATTCATCTAGTACGCGTTATATCAAAAATTTTATTGATTACGAGAATTAATATCTTCCTGGTCTCATCGGTAAAGATCTGCACTTGCAAATTTGTTGTTATCTATTTCGATATGTAGAAAATTGATTTTAAACGTTGCGTTCTTTGTGCAATATTATGTCGTCAAAGTCCTGGCACAAATTCTAGATGTAACATAAACTGCATGAATTTATTGAGAGGATATCATATCTAATCTTGAAAATGTTTAAAAGCTCTCGCGAGACAGAATCTCATATTGTTCAGAGGCTTTTCTCGTAGTACGAGAACGACAGTGTTTATAAGGAGATTTAACGATTTTTTTAAATTGATGAGAGAATATTTTCTTGTATTAAGTAAACTTCTTAGTCGAAAGTAGTTTCTTCTCCTAGTGTATACCAACACGACATGAGCCCAAGTACTCGGCACTGGTGCGTTATCCGGATTTAAAATAAACCTAAACCCTGTGTCTACACTCACCATCCCCCGACCTGTACTGATAAGGAACGGAAAAATCACTTCCGCTTGATTGGGAGAATCGCATCCACTTTAGGATCGAAATAGAATTTCACTCGGGGTTTTTCACTGTTAGATGTCACTGTCCGAAAATAATGAGATTATAACTCCTAGAGCCTGATTGAGGATTTTCAGAGAAGAAAAATAATTTTTTTAGACGAGACAGGTGATTCTTTTTTAGTAAAATTCTTTCACTGACCAACGGTTGATTTTTCGTACATTTTCCGTGCTGATCATGATGATATAAATATGAAAAAAAGGATTTTGAAGGATTTTGGAGTTTTTTAAACTAAAACCACTGATTTAAAAACGGAAGAAATACTCTGAAAGAAATACTATGAAAGAGATACTCTCAGTATAAACTATCGACGTCATGAAATGACAAATAAATAAATCTCCAACGATTATCGAAGCGACATGACGAGAAACGGTCCCGGAAAACGTTCGATACTATTTCCAAAAAGATCTAACAAAACTTAGAAAATCTGTACCGCAGATACGTATCAGTCTCGACGAAAAAAATGCTGAATTCCTTACCTGTTGCACAGAGAAGGACAAGCACTAAACTCCACATTATGGTCATCACCACGGATTCTCACTAAAAAATTCACAATTCTATATCTATTCACCAAAATCGTAACTCGTGAATGTCCACATGGTACTATATCACGACAAATGATCTTTATCTTGAGTTATCACCGGTGATTCAGATCATTTTAGACGATTGTTATCCCGGTGAAGTGTCATTGATTCGTGGTATTATGCAAGGGACGTTCTACTGTGGCGGTTGGCGACCAACTGAGGCTGTCTGTGGTGATTCGACCTGGTGTTGCCGGCGCACTGCACGTCGGATTCGCGCGTGATCGCATTCAGCCATCCCCATGTTCTCCACTCTTTTCTCACCGAATATCCTCACTACCACCCAGTGATTGTCTGACGTCAGCTCAACCCCCACCTCCCCACTTTTCAAATTTTTCACTCAATTTTCCACACGCAGATAGTCTATCCCCTTTTCAAAAATTCCCTGTTTTTTTCAAGCCTGTTTGGCCCTAGTAGCGAGGTAATGAATATATTATATATATTTGGTATATTGACCATATATATGCTTTAATATATTGATTACATAATTCGTATGTAGGAGTGGACATTTATTTTTTTGATGGAACGCAAGACGAATATGACTTAAAACTTTTCAATTCACAAATTTCGAATGCTTGGAGATGTGAGGACAAATTAATAGTATTTTTTACTTGGGAACTGGCAGTTTCTATTTTAATTACTAATTATTTCAAATTGTTGGTAGATTTTATAATACGTCGCTGATATATTCGAATCGGAAAATGGAAGAGAATCGAAACTACGTGAATAAAATTCCATTTTGTAAATGAAATTCTTAAATTACAATAGCACTTGAATCAATATTTTGTCAATTTATTTACCGACATTTGGTTCAATCCCAAAACGTCTATTAACGCAACACAATCCGTTTGTCAATCGTCAAAAAATAGCAAGATCGAAAAATGGATCACGAATTTGAAGTGTTTAGGTAATCCTATCCGTTCTTGCAATGATCGTGAAACATTATTCAATTAAACATTTCATATTAAAAATCGACAATTTCACGTTGATTGCGAAAAACAATTAAATCGAGTATGCGTATACTTGGATTATGAATTTCGGCATTCGCGATGATGAATCGCTTCTTTATTATTTATCAATTCTATCTATATATACTTGAATTCTTTGATTCAATCCTGGCACAGGATTGCATCAAGGAAGAACAAGTTTACAACAGAGCGGTTAGAAAATGTCACAAACGATATTCAAGTATGTACGCACTTGCATGTAGTGAGCCGTTCATCGCTTGAAATATTTCACACTTGAATCAAGAATACAAAAGAATGAATGATGATCAATCGCGTAAAAACTTGATGGAAAAATTTTTTTTTCCGTATGGAATCATATCCCGTATCCATCCCCGAACTCGTCGATCCTTTATATATTTTTATAGAGGGGATTTCAGTGAAATTTCTGGTCCACTTGTCTCCTAAAATAAATCAAAACCCATAAAAATGGTGGACGTCCATTTCAACCCTACCATTCTAGATGTTCAGTCCACGATCAGTTATCACAGATTAGTCAGGAATTTTATGAGCAATTTAGGATTAAATTCAATTCTATTTCCGAATATTGATAATTTAAATGCATCTGTTGCTAGAATTTGGAAGAATTTCTAACGGTAGGATCCGGTGATTGTCTGACGTCAGCTGAAATCCCTGTGTAGGTCGTTAGATATTCAGCCTGAATATTTGCACTTTTGGTTGGTTTGAAGCAGTTTTTTTTGAGGGGTCAGTGACACAGAGTGACCGAGTCGTGAGGATCTCATTCAGATCCATGCGTCCTGGGCACCGTTAGGGAATTTTAATCTCATGGACGATGTCGTTGGAAAAATTGGTATTTCAGGCTCTTTAAATCGGACGCACCGAGAAAAATTAATCATTTTTAAGTTTTAATAGATAGATCACAAGGCCTCACCGAATATTATCGGTATTGAAACACTATTCAAGGCGGGACTGAATTTTCAATGAATTGATCACTAAGTAATAAATTACGTAATTACATGTGCTGTGACAAGAATTTGAAGTCGTAGAGATTGATGATTGATTTGATGGGGTAACTGAAATTTGAAGGTTCCCAAGTGCGATTTAGGGTTGAAGTTCATGAAGTGTCAGCGTTCGTGTGAAATTCTCGGGAATTCCTCATTTTTCGTTATCAGAAAGACAATAATTCCCCTAGTGCCTTGAATTTTATGGTCCTCCGTCAGCTTTTATTGAGCAATTAAACTGAATTTTATGAGTTCTATCGATTTTGACGTAAAATTTTGAATTTCCAATTGCAGAACTTCTTGACATTTCTCTCATTTGATGGTACGGTATAAAATTGTTGATGAAGGGAATTTTTGTCCTCAGAGATGTAGACTGGGATTTTAACAGGAGGGAAAAATTGTCAGACTCCACGGATCCTTGAAACCAACCCACAAATTTTCATCCGCTCCAATTTCATTCCGAGGTACTCGACGGCAATGCGAGATATTTCTCTCGATGTTCGTAGAAATGCATATTTTCATAGACGAACTGAAATTTTATAAAAATTCTTTGAAGTTTCGAGAGCACTCGGAAAAATAGCGTGATGCATATCGCTTGGGCGTTTCCAAAGGCTGTTATTCTCCGAATATTCCATGAATATTTTCGCTCTTTCGCACGTGGGGCAATGCCCCGGAATTTTCTTTAAATTTTTGCATGAAGCTCCACTGAGAGTGAACGTCGATACATAAAAAATTCACCAAGTAGTTTTTTCGAAAAAAAATCGCCGTTGCAGAAGTATTTATCCACGCCACTCCTTCAGAATTTGAATAGCAGACTTTAAATAATCCATGTCTCTTCATTTTATTCAATAATTCAATCTCACAGTGATTCAAAACTATTTACAACAAAATTATTTATTTACGTTAAATAAATTTTAATGAAATAAATAAATTTGTTTACTAGTGTGAAATAAAATTTCTCATTAAATTCATAAACTTTCTCTATTGGGAATATTGTGTACACTAAAAAAATTTCTAGCTTTCGCTGTTAATGAAAAGTCATTTCATTTCAACGAAAGATTTTTTTAGCATAATGTTCCTTCGAACTGGGTAAAACCTTTATTGAAAATTAATTTATTGAAAGTCTTTAATAAGTTGTTTATTTGACAAAATATTATCAGGACTGTTGTCATGTGATTTTTTCACTCATGCAATTAGCTAAATATACTATTTCCTGGGTTGGAACAATGCATCGAGTGTAAAGTAATTGTCGGCCTTGGTATCCCCCGTGATATTCGCAATTACATACGCAGACAAAATAAGAATTCCCTGTCATATTTATTAGCTGATTCCTTGTATGATTAATGTGCTTATCCTGACGCCCCAGTCAGCATGACGTTGTTTACTTTTTCTTTATTTTATTTTTTCTCCAACGGACACTTTTATCCTCCACCTCATTTGACTTGTGCCCGTATCATGTTGAGAGATAATATCTCCCTTCTCATGTCACATGTGCCGTCAAAAAATGCAGCGGAGGAGGACAAGATGAGCGTCAGGGACGGGAAAAATGCCGCCTCAAGGACCCAAACAATTTGTCGGCCATTGAGAGAAATCATCTGGACTTGTCCCAGTTACTCTCCCTCGTGCTTTCCTCCTCCCATTGACGAAATTGCACACTGATTGATAGAAAATTCTCTCCTGCAACTATATTACTCCCAGAAAAAAAGACAAGTCAAGTGAAGTGGGGTGAGTCGGACATGATTTTTCGCAAATATCAATTGATCTCAATAAGCGATTCCAGAATTAAATTCCAAAAAAAAAAAATTTTTCTCTATTCATCTCACAGCTTTATTACGCTTCGGATAAATTCCCGATGAACCTATTCTCGTAAATTGATTATCGTTCATCAGATCTTCCATTAACGATTTCCGTGGAAATCCGTAAAATCTGAGAGCAACATGAAACTCAGCAACAGGTGGAGGTCTAGATAGCTCATCTCGTTGAAATCGCATACAGGGAACAATAAAACTTTCACATAATAAGGAATGGCTTTAAAAATAGCCCGCCAGGAAGTGTCGTAAACAATTGGGAGGGAATGTTCGGGTATACGCGGAAAATTTCGCCAATCTATCGCCATACGTTGCCTGTAAACTCCGGGTTTATTGACCGCTGGGTCATTATACTTTACCGAAACTCTGGATTCATTACCTCATTCATGGGAATGTATAATAGTTTAAAAGCGTCCGGTTGAACAGATTCTGATGCACTAAGTCATGTAAAAGGATCGGCGTTGATGCATCCAATTGGCACCTGGCCACTTGACGGAACCCCGATGTATATTCTTGAAAGTGGGTTTACACCAAGACATCACTTGCCTGAAGATATCATCAGGCTCAATTGGATTATCTGTATCGAGGTCTCATTCTTTGATGGATCAATTCCTCGAACCTCATAGCTCCGAACTTTCATTATGGAACAATTCCTTTTTTTTTATTAATGGAAAATTAATAAAAATTCAAGGCGCAATTGTTTTCCTTTTGTTAATTCATTAAGTGCATTTAAAAATACAGATTATATTTAATATTTTCTGTATTTTGTTTATATAAATTCAACACTTTAAGATATTTTACATCATATGGATATACATGTGGGTAATTTTAAAAAATGACTTGAAAAATGACTTTTGAATTGCGCGTCGCGGAAAATTGGAAAATCAAATCGGATTCGAGGCGAAAAATCACGCTATATTAGATGCAGAAAACAATCTCTAATTTAGCAATATCTAATATTAATCTGTGACTTGCAATATCTTGAAGGATGACATTTCGGGTCAACCAGGTCCCAGTGATGATTTTTCACTCAATAATCGTTATGTCATTATACCATCGAGTTTGTAGCGTCCTCTTTCTTGTTTTAATTTCTCGAGTGACGTTCGCTCATCCATCGAGATTTACGATCACGGTGAACTCGTTAATTGATTTAATCATACACGTCTCAATCGATGGAAATATGTACTCAACCGAGGCCTCGGGCAAACGCGGTAACTGCTGTATTTCATGTTCTGTCAGTATACTTCGGGTTAAATGGTTTCTGTGATTAGATTTTCTCCACGCAATCAGCTATTTTACAGAAAAAAAAACAAATACTTTGGAGTGTATATTTCAAATGATATGCGAAAATAGAACATATATCAATTATTATTTGTGGAATATAGTGATATTAAATTTTATATGCTTTGCCATTACAAACCTCAAGTAATTGAAAATCCT